AAAACAAATTATTTAATGAGATATTAACAAAAGCATTTATTGTTTTGTCATTATACTTCCGGTTGAGAGCCTAATTTTAGGTTCTCAAATCTGCATAGTTTTTTCCATTAAAAAAACATCTGGTTTCAGTAATAAGTGTTTTCACTCACCGCAGAATTTTTAAGCTCAGTTAATTTTTATCCAATCAGATTGGGTTTTCCCCTTTACATTTAGTCTGCGGTGGTTATAAAAACGTTTGTTGTAGCATGTTTTTGTTTTTTGTTTAATGTATTGTTAAGTGTTTTGTTTAATGTATTGTTAAGTGTTTGAGTTAAAAGAAACTAGCATAATATCAAGTAAAGTTAAAAACAAATTTTTAAAACCCAATGTTTTTATATGTTTATTAAAACACAAATTTGCTATTAATTTTTTCTGATATTACTGTTTTATTTTATTAACATTTGGCTGTATGTGTGTGCAAAAAAACAAAAATGTTAAGAAAGATGCGGGTCTTGAACCACAGACATTCCGTTTACAAAGTCAACACTTTATCTAACGCATGTTTAAGTGTAAAAACAATCAATATGCTTATTTTAAAAACTATTATTCTTTTTTCCATATAAAAAATAAACTTAATTAAAATTCACTAAATTAATTGATTTATTACAAAACTAATTATTGAATATTGTATTGTCATCAAGCAAGAGTATGTATGCAAAATTTGAAGAAAATCTGTCATTAGGAAGTGACTTAAAAATTGATTGCAAGATTTGGTGCTCACAGACAAACAACCTGACAAGGAGTTAATAAAAGCGTTGATAAAAATAGTAATTAAGCAAAGCGAACTTTAATAACAGGATATTAACCGCTATATTCCCAGAGTCATAATTCTTGTTTCTGACTCAAACACTTGAAACCTTGCAGTGACTAAAATAATAAACAAATCTCTGTAAAACTCGGCCCCTTTTATACTAGCATATTGATTAAATATAATAATTGAAAAAAAATTATTTATCACACTTGTAGTAAAATCCAAAAATAAATCAAAATATTATGTTATGAACAAATAAAACTTATTCAAAAATAGTTTGGTAATCACTTAACTAGTTTATAAAGAAAAAATTAAAGGTTTATCATAAAAACTCTAGAAAAAGGAGAGATTCTAAAAGTATGAGATTTTTTAAAAACATGTTATTTTTAATATAAATTTTTTTATTATATTTGTAACATGAAACAAAAAATTAATTGTAAGATAAAAGATTAAATCTATCTACAACAATCTAAAACTGTCTAAAACAAACTACAATAAATAATCAAGTTTAGTGTGGTAAGCTTCAAAACAAATATCTAGGTAAAGCCCTGGTTCAGATGGGCAAATTCGACAAACATGTGTAATTTTCAGTGGTTGACATTTAGGTGATAGTTTTCCTCTTGCATAGCACACTCTACATCTTTTGATTGGTCTGTTGCATCTGGAAAAGCTCCTTTTAGTGAAGGGAAGTGTCTGCCAGTAAGACGAGACATTGTATTGTCTAGTATTTGTTTGTTTGGTATAGCTGGGTTGATTAGTACTAAAGATAAAATAGTGTCATGCAAAAAATCTAGGAATGTTATTTTAGAATTTCCAGTTTCATGTTGGAAAACGGTCTGTCTCTAATTAGTTTTATTAATGGTCATACTTTGTGTAACCGATCACGGTTTTTGTCATTTACATCATAGCTTGGATCATTGTTATCGTTGAAGTGTAAAAACTTCAAAATCAGTTGAAAACGAGTGCGTGACATTTTAGAAAATATTGGAGTGCTAAAAAACTCAGATGTAGCCCAATACATATGAATATCAGGTTTATATATATTTTTAAACTTTATTTCTAAAACAGTTACCGGTTCCCAAATTACTACATATTCATTCCTGGCTTTAACTGGGTTGATATCTAGAAAATCTTGAACATAGCGTTTCGTTTCAACGACTATGAGCTCAATAATATTAGGTGTCAGATATAGTTCAACAAAATCTAAAGGAGAAGGATTTCCTTGTATTATTCTTACTTTAAGTCCCTCTACTTTAAAGAAAGGAATAATTGGATCATTATCAGTTTGAACATGTTCCCATGTTGATTTCAAATCAATTCCTTGTTGATTAACTTTTGCAACCCTAGCATTGGGTTGTTCTTTTTTACCACATGGCCTTCCTCTACAACCTTGATTGTTGTTACCTTTTTTTTGCTTATCTATGTTAGTAACTTGAAATATTTGATTTTTATTATTGACAATGTTTTTTTGAATTCCACCGCGAACTTTTACTTTTTCTTGTTCTGCTACACCGTTTTTTCTGGTGGAACCAAATATTTGATCAGGAAAAAGGATCTTGTTGTTCTCTTTAGGGTCTATTTCATCACAACTATTTTCATCAATTTCTTCTTCCTCTTTTTTGTCGATACTCATTTTATAAACCTGCGTTATTTGACTAAAGTCTGGTAAGGAAGGACAGTTTTTGTTCTGAAAATCATCAGGTAAATGTAAATTAGGAGTTACAACAAATTCTATATCTTTCTCTTCATATTCCCAAGCTGTTTCAGGTTCGTATTCATCGGCTGATAACTCACCAATGTCCATATCATCGCTGCTATCATCCATAACTATTTTTTAAAATTTCTTCCATATTTGAATAAGTTTTTTTAAAACAAGTCATTTTTAAAAAAAGCAATAACTTTTGAACAAATAGAAATTTTGACAAATGGTTTTCAGCCTATGATGTAATAATTATTCTATATTCTATATCTGTAAATAACATTACATAATACGTTATAAAAAGGTATTTAAATTGCGAATGTAATCATGTCCAATCAAGGTTAGTTATGACCCGCTGTGCGGGTCTCAGGGAGTGAAAGAGTTAATACCTCAATAATTTGTTTTGGAAAGTTTAATTATCAGAAACTATCAAGAGAGAGGAGCAAATCTAAAATTGAAGTTTCAATTTTTTGACTTTGATGTTTTGTGTTTTTTCAATCTTGTCAATTTTTTTGAATACAATAACATACATATTCAAAACAAATCAGCTTGAGCTAAAAAGACTTATAGTTATTAGAAAAGTTTGCTTATATTACATATGATCCTGAATAAAAACGTTTTATAATTGGGTTTTTTTTATTTGCATGTAGCAAATGAAAAAATTCCAATATTTGTTTATATATATATTGTTTATATATATTTATAGCAAAAAAATAAGTATATCAAAAAAGACTTAATTGTTAAAATAAAATTTTTTTCTGCCTCCACCTTCTGTAGTAGCAGGACTGTCTTATTCAAATTTTTTTTAATTAAGTTATTTTTCAGATCATAACTTTTTTTCAGACTATCCGCAGCATTTTAAGAATCAATCATGACACATATGCAACAAATTTCCCCCTGTGTTTTTTGATGTTTTTAGAATTTTTAGCTTTTTTCAAAAATCTTTTCGTTTGTTAAAGTGTATAATACTGTTACATATGTTTGTATATAATCTCAATAAAACTTCAAAAGTATTTTGTATTTTGAAAACAATAGAAATAAGAAAAAAGAAATGTCGCCACGAACTGTTTGGACTCGAACCACAGCTTTTTTGTTCAGAAGCTCTGCGTGCTAACCACTTGGCTAAGCTGGCACATTGACTTATGAAAATTTTAAAACTATATAATAGTTTTTCAATAGAAATAAATGCTATAGTAATAATCAAAATTAAGGATATGTTGCTGCAATGCAGTTTTCAAGTGAAAGTAAAACTGTGAAACTTGACACATGTTTCAGTATGTTTTAGCATTGCATAATTTGAAGTTTATGTACGTTAGATATTTGCATACACTTTTGTTCACGTTTTCTAACAAAAAGTGCTGTCATCCTTTCTTACCACTACTTTGTTTGCAATGGCTGCCAAGGTTCCGTGTCAAACACACTAGAATGAGCACTACTACTAACAGAATTAAGTTTGGCAATAATATATAGAGATACAAGCCAAAAAATATTTTTATTTTTTGCATTGATTGCATAAACTTAATACTTTTCTAAAATAAAATTTTGTAAAGATGTATAATTTATAATATAATATGATTATAATTTAGTGACTATTTTTACTATCTATACTACAGTAAATTTTTGATTATTATGGGAAAATATGTGCATATCAAGCCACATAAGACACTTTGTGGATTTATTTGCGTTTTGAACAGATGATATATATTGCTACAATGATTAAACTGAAAAAAATAAACCTTGCCTCCTGGCAATATCTTATGAAGAATTTCACTATCAACAAGTCAGACATTCTTTTCTGTAATATTGGTTCTGATCATGCCTTAGAACTGGAAAACAAAAGTTTGAAGGCAACAGGAGGAGTGAGTGGTTTTACACAAAATCCACTAATAGAGAGACATTAACTTCAAATCCAAAAGTAGATTTTGAATTTGAAGTTAATGTCTCTCTATTAAAACAAAATTTATTGAATTGGCCAAGTTTCTAATATCTTTATTTTGACAACCTTATTGTCAAAAAAAAAAATCCATTATGTTGGACTAAAAGTAACCAAATTTTAATGTAATCATGCAAATTTTAATGCAATAATGCAAATTTTAATGTAATAATGCAAAATTTTAATGGAATATTAATTGACTAAAAAGTTTTAAACTTGTAAAATATTAAGAATATGAGTTTGAAGTTTTACTATGATGCATAACAAAAAGTAATCAAAAACAAAACTTATTATTTATTATTAGTTATAACTATATATTGTTTATCAAATTTTATAAGTATCTCTATTTTTTTGAATAAATATGTTGTTTTTATAAATATTATATTGTTTTTATAAATATTATGTTGTTTTTATAAATATTATGTTGTTTTTATAAATATTATGTTGTTTTTATAAATATTATGTTGTTTTTATAAATATTATGTTGTTTTTATAAATATTATGTTGTTTTTATAAATATTATGTTGTTTTTATAAATATTATGTTGTTTTTATAAATATTATGTTGTTTTTATTTAGAGTATTGAATCTGATTCAAGTATACCACTTACAAATTCATTCACAGAGTATCAAAATGTTTCACAAAATAATACACATAAAAATATAGAAGAAAAATTAACAAATAATTGTCTAATCAAACACGATGTTCACGAGATCAAATATGATCCTATTAGACAGGACTCTATGAATCTGAATAACTACCAATCCTCTAATCAAAGTAATTATGCTTCTACCAATAAAAATATAGATAATAATTCAATAACTTCAGATATTTCTTCACATGCAATAGTTGAAAATAATATAAGCAATCATAGTACTATAGAACAGGTGAGCCAAAATTATGTTGAAGAAAAGCACCTTATGAATTGTGAGAAAATGTTACTTAATACTGCTTCTAACAATCTGGAAAAAGTAGATGCTGTACCTGTAGCTCCACCAAGAAGAAAGAAAAAGCAAGCAAAGATTCAAGTAAGTTGTCATTTTATTATTGTTTTCATTTTCTATGACATTAAGTTCAATTTGCCTTAAATTGCATTTTTAGTGTTGCAATTTTCTCTGTAAAAGAAATTAATTATATATTATAAATATTTTCATTAAATTGTTGCTCTTAGGAACTGTTTTTTAATTTTATTTTATTGATATTTTTTTTGGTTACACTTGTCTCAAGTATTGAGAACAATATCTTCTCAAATACATTTAAATTCACTTACTTTTGTTTAGGCAGTAAATGTAGCTGTGTCTGAACCAAAACATGTGGATGATTTATCACCATTTATTCGTGTAAGTCCGAGCACAAATGAAATGAATGAAGTACTTCAAAGTGGAAGTTCATTAAATGTGGTATGCAATGAAGATCTTATGGCTTTAAAAAGTGGAGGTTGATAAATGATATTTTTATAACTTGTTTTAAAATTAAAAAAACAAAAATCAAATAAGTTAAGGTCAATAATAACAGTAAAAATTCTTACAATACAACTTGGCTCACTTAATAAGGAAGTTTTGTGTATCCATCATTATTTACAGTAATTTGTTATAACAGCCTAACTGAACAAAAAAATTTTACGACTACATTTTTTACAGCCTAACTTACTAAAATGTTTTATTTTTACGACTACATTTTTAGTTATTGAAAGATTATTCATACTTTTTGGTGAAATTGTTATTATTTTCCTGATGTTTTCTTTGATTTCCATATTTTTATTGTTCATGTTTTTACATTTATAATTAAAAAAAAAAATTTCAATACAAATTTATTAACAATAATTTAACAATCTTTTTTCTGACTTTTCTTTTTTTTTTTAAAAAAAAAAAGAAAAGAAAAGTCACAAATAAAAAATAAAAAGGTGTTCACTGAAAACAAAAGAAGCTGTTTACTAAAAATAAAAAGGTGTTCACTAAAATAAAAAGGTGTTCAATAAGAAGAAAAAGTGTTCACTAATTAAAACAGTGTTCACTGAAAAAAATTAAAAAATGATCATTAAAAAAAAATTAACATGTGTTCACTAAAATATGAAAAGGTGTTCACTGAAAAAATGAATAATTATTAGTCATATATACCCAGTCATTCAGAAAATTTGGAAATTAGTGAAAATATTTAAATGGTTCTTAAAAACCACAATTACATTGAAAAACAAATTAAAGACAATTAATTTTTTTTCCTAAAACGTTTTTAAGAAGATGAGTTTAAAATGATTGTCATAATCTATAGCTTTGGATGTCTCAAATGATTGCTTGCAATCAGGCTTGTGGAGCCGGAGCCATGTAGCCGGGGAGCTGTTGTTTTTTGGTGGAGCTGGAACCGGAGCCGCAAAAATCGAGTGGCTCTTGGCTTTCGTGTTTTTTTTAAATGAATAAAATGTATGTTTGTTTTTTTTTACTGTAGGCAAACTCTGTTCATTTATTGTTTAACTGATTTGTTGAATGAATTATTTATTGAGTTTCTATTTTTTTAAAATAATTTTTCTTACAGTTACGATCTTGAAAAAACGTAATAAAAATGAATATTTTAACAATTTTGTGTTCAACAAAAAACTATCCTTTAATAGTATTTCTTAATATGCTTTATTTAAAAAAAAAGTAAATTTTTTATGAAAACATTACAGTATTGCATAAATTGCTTTATATTGTATTTTTATACTGATACTATAATTTTAAATATTTGATGCGCGATTTAATGATCAAAGGTTATTCTTATCTTTTAAATTATACTAAAGCATAAGATCATTAAATTTAGAACAATGAATTTTGTTTTAAAACTTGTCACTAACACATTACTGAATTTCCGAGTAATTACATAAAGTAATTACAGTATCAATTAAAAACATCAACAAACTAGTCAAAATGTTTCTCTTAATTAAAATGTCATTGAAACATTTAGAAAAACATAAAATTCTGCACAACTATCTACAAAATCCTCCTGCATCATTACTATCAATCACTAAATGATCTGAATCTAGCAAAACTATTGTTTATATGGTCATAAAACAATATCTATTGAATAAGCAAAAGGATCTGGAAGAAAGAGTGGCTTTAAGGATAAGAAAACAGCAATTAGTATTCGACGATCATTCACACAAAATCCTGGCTTATCGAACTTAGAGCAACCGAAAAGGTATAAAGTGTCAGAGTTTTTTAAAGATTAAATTTTGGCAAGCAATATGCAGCTGCGGTTTGAGATCTCGAGCTTTTGTCAAATCGTCAAGTTTAAACTCCAATATTTTCATCAAAGAATATTTGCAAGCTAGACTTTTGCAATTTTATCAAAGTTATGATGTCCGCTGTTGATTCTGGCCTAATCTTGCCTCTTGTCATTATTCTAAGAAGAGTGGTACAGTTCGAGAGTATCAAATTCATACCAAAATGCTTGAACCCATCAATTTGCACACAGTTCCATCCCATTGAAAAATTTGGGGGAATTAGCATAGAATATTTGCGTAAGACTGGTAAAACAATAAATACAGACTAAAATTTTATTATAGAGTGGACATTAGTAGAAAAAAAAATTGTCAAAGACACTGTGCAAAAGTTGAAAGTTGATATCGTCGATTAGCGTAAATGTTTGCTTATTTGTATGAAATAATAAAAAATATTAGAATAAAAAGCACTTTTATAATCTTCAAGTTCCTTAGATAAAAATGAATATTTTTTGTAGTTTTTGCATCAGTTAAACTATTTTTCATTTTTTTTGAATTTTTTATCCTTTTGAGTTTAATGATCACATGTTTTACCCAGTGGGCACGGGACATACAAAAGAAGTCTTTTAAACATCTTTGGAGCGTTTTGAATGTTTTTTGAACGTTCAAAATATGTCTTTTTTAGGTGCTCACTGGGATCAAGTGGGGACTGGACTCAGTGCCCACTGGGATCAAGTGGGGACTGGACTCAGTCAGGACGTAAGAAAGATGTCTTTAAAATTTTTTGAATATTTTCAATATCTTTTGAATGTTTTGGATGTCTTTGGGACGTTCAAAAGATATTTTTTTTTAGGTACCTGCCCCTGGGTAAAATTAGAACTAAAATTTAAACTAAAAACTCTAGTTTTCGGTAAATAATATATAGAAAAATTTTTTGATGTACTTAAAACATTTTTCTTTTCAAATATAATATTCGGTAGTAGAGTAGTGATAGTAATACAATAACCTTGTAATCATGAGGGGTGGTAAAAAAATAATTGCTGTAATTGGTATAGTTTTGGGTTAGCATATGTGATCAAAAAAAATATTCCAAAACTTGCAATTTTTGTTCATAAAATTCGGTAGCCGGAGCTGAGCCTGAAGAAATATCCGGTTCCGAGCCGGAACCGGATATTTCTTAAAAGCCGGAGATGAGCTGTAAAAAAAACAGTTGCTCCCACAAGCCTGCTTGCAATCAAGTATTTTTGCCTCGAGATGAAATGTTACTTTATTTAAAAACCTTTTGCATAATTTTAACTTTAAGCATAACATTAGAAAAGATCAAACTTTTTAAGTTTGTGCGGTAGTGGTGTAGTGGTAGAGCGCTCGCTTCATAAACGAGTGGTTCCGAGTTCGATCCCCACCATGTCCCTGGTAGTACCGCGCTCAACTCGTTTCTCCGCGCAGCAGCCTTGCTCGTCAAGGTTCGTGTTTCGGAGTTATAGAGTTGAGAGTGGGCAGTAACCACAAATAAGTAGCCTCCTCGTCTGTAGTGGCCTTCTCGGCCTTGAGGAGGTGAATTAAAATAAAAATAAAAAAAAAAAAAAAAAGTTATTTATTTAAAACTAACTGGACCCATAAGTTGTTAAAGCTAACTGGACCTGTAACCCATTAAAGCTAATTGGACCCATAAAAATATGACTCTTTGTAAGTTTATTCTACATTGACCTTTTATATTCATGTTTCGGGTCTTTACCAAACCAACTATTTCTATAGTTATCTATTCCACACCGATCGTTTCTATACTTTATTACTTACTTCAATATTTTTTAGGCAACAGTAGAAAAATAATTCATTAAAAATAACTGCTTTAAGAGGAAAAAGATTTAATATATGCACCTTTTCTGTATACGTAGAGTTTATAAGAGATTATTAAAATTTTGATATCTTTATATATGTTGTATATATAATATCTAAAAAACTTCAAAAATGTTTTAATTTGTATTTTAAAAAATCATAAAAGAAAAAAAGAAAAATTATGGCCAGATGGTAGGACTTGAACCACAGCTATGCACATCAAAAACTCTGCCAGCTAATTTGGCCACTAAGGTGTAATGTGTTATAAAAGTTCTAATAAACAATAGAATTTATAAATTGGCAAATTAGCTTTTTTTAAAATTCTCTCCCTTTTGTTTGTTATAGTTTACGATATCTTTATATATGATATGTATATTTTGTTTGTTATAGTTTACTTTATATATCTTATGTATATTATATCTATAGAACTTCAGAAGTGTTTTATTTTGTATTTTGAAAAATTGAAAAAGATAAAAAAAAAAAAATGATTGTAACTGGTGGAATTTGAACCACAGCTTATCTAAGTATACGCTCTATTTGTAGAGCACATATTATTTAGATAAGTTATTATAAAGATAAATTAACAATAAGTAAAACATATAGATATAAGTTTAAAAAACCTTAAATAACTTTTTCTTGCTTTAAAAATGGATGGATAATATCTCTCTCTCTCTCTCTCCTCTCTCTCTCTCTCTCTCTCTCTCTCTCTCTCTCTATATATATATATATATATATATATATATATATATATATATATATATATATATATATATATATATATATATATATATATAAATTTATATATATATATATATATATATAAAATGTTTTTTGTTGTTATTCAGGAATGCCAGTTACCAATAACATCAGTGGCAGACAACTAACAGATGATGTAAGTTTTTCTTGAATTTTCTCTATAATTTATTATTTTATCTTTACTGTTTTTTTTTTTAGGTAAAGATTATATAGTTTATTAATTGGTTCTAAAAAGCCGGCTGGTTGTAAATAAACTAAACATTTACTTTAGTTATATTATGTATAAGTAAGAACTTTTTTTATTTGCTATAGCAACTAGTTTTATTTTGATGATTATAATAATTGTTATAATTATGCTATAATAACTATGGTTACTTGAAGTTGTAATCATCTAAAATACATTATAAAATATCATAATAACTAGAATCATAGTAGGAGTTTATAAAAATATTAAGACTACTAGGTTTGAAGGACTACTAGGTTTGATTAATTAACAATCAATCAATTATTAAAACTAACTAGTTACAGCAATAAATTAACCAATCATTAAGTTAAGTCAATTATTTATTGCAATAAATCAAACTTTTATTACAATAAATGAGCTAATCATTTGCAATAAAAAAATAGAACTGTTACAATAAATAAGCTAATAATTTGTTAAAATAAACAATTTTGGTGGATTTATTAAAACAAATTCATCAATTATTAAAATAAACCAATCATTCATTACAATAAATTATCCAATCATTGCAATAAATCAACCAATCATTGCAATAAATCAACTAGTCATTGCAATAAATCAACCAATCATTGCAATAAATCAACTAATAATTTCAATAAATCAACCAACCATTACAATAAAAAAATTATTTATTACAAATAGTGTAAGCAAAAAGATTATAATTGTTTAAAAGATTATAAATCTTAAAATAATGTGCAAATTTACATTACAAATAATGTGCACTTAAAATAATGTGCAAATTTACATTAACATTCCTGGTGTAATGTATACTGGACCCACAGCAAAATTTAGACTCACAACAAAAATTGGACTCACAGCAAAACTTTGAGATTAATGTGGAAAAGAAGATACTACTGGCAAAGAAGATTGTTATCTAGCAAAGGCAAATTTTATACTTTGAGAGAAAAGTTTCAATAATTTTATAAACTTTTAAAAATCCTTTTCAGATTAGTATACTAAACATTGTTAAAACAAGTTGTTTCTTTCAGTTTTTATTTCTAAAAAAATTTTAAAAAAGTGCTAAAAATTCAGTTTGAAGTTTTTTAGAACTTTTAGATATCTTTTCTTTGATTACACTAAATCTCTCGATATTACTATAACCAAATTAATTGTTGAGCAAGAAGGTTGAGATCACTATTTATTGCCAAAAAAGTAAGTTGTTATATTCAGAGTCCTTTGTTTATTTGATAGTTTGAGTTAGAAAAGATTCAACTTATGAAAGATTTATGAATTAAATATTTATAGATCTTGTTTAAAAATGTTGCAGACTCAAGAATTTAGAACAATAAAGGGTTATATTACAAAGAGTTATCTCAAAAGGGTTTCTAATTTTACTGGCAAAGGTTTTGAATTATAGACAAAAGGTCCGGAAAAATCCTATGCTAGCTTATAATAGTATCTTTTTACCTACATCTTTTATCACAATATTTAAGTAAAAAACAAGAAACGTCAATAAGCGAAGACACATTTGTCTGGTGGTTGAGTTAAAATGTTTAATAAGTGATTATGAAGGCAAAAACTGACAATGAATTTTAGAATTTAATGCCAGCCTAGTAACTAGTAAGATACAAGCGATGGGAAATAAACTTTCCAAGAACATTAATGCTAGATGTAAAGCTCGTTCAATTGTTCAAATGACATAAATAAGAGAGTCACATGAAGAAGCAGAAGTTTAAATGTTTTTTCACCATTAATAATGGTTTCCCTTCTGATGTTATTTTTTAATTTTTACCCAAATTGTTAGTAAAAGAAAATGAATATTTAAAAGTAAATATTTGTGCCATGTCATTTTATGAAAAGTTAGTGGAAAAACACAAAGAGTTTTATACTCTTTCAAATTTTAATTTTTTTATGTTTTCAAATTTATTATTAATTTTCAAAAAGTACTCTCTCCAAGTTTTCCTACTCATACCTTTTTTCTTTTCTTCTGAAACTCTCTGCATATTGCTCTTCTCTGCATATTGTTTCTTTTAAAAAGCTCTCTGCATATTGATACCGATTCAGCTGCATCTTTATGCTCATCATCTGGATATAAACCCTCATTGCCCCTTTTTTTAAATATTCTTTATAAAATCTACATTTCCTAATCATTTAGTTTTATTAGTATGAACTTTTCTTCTGATTATTTAAGATTTTTTCTTTGTTTACAATTGTATTGTGAAGATCTGACACCTACTGATCACCCTCATTGCCTGATGTCTTTAACGTCTTAGCAAATACACTAGAAAAATCAAGTCTAGTCTAGCTGAACCCTCCGAATAGCTGGTTAAACTTTACTATCACAAAAAGTGAATTAACTTGAATTTGTTAAAGCCGGAAAATTTTGGGTAAAAGATTTCCTATGCCATAATTATGCAATAATTATTTCTTTATCTTTAAATGAGTTGATTCTATATAATTCTTACAGTTGGAAAATATAACAATGTGTGGAATTGAATTGCGTTTGAACTTTAGATTTTACTTAAAACTATTAAAAGAATTAAGGTAAACAATGTTTTAACTAAAGAAATTATTTAATTTTATGAGAAGCATTCTTTTTACTATAAAATTCTTTACAGGAATATAAAAATTGTTTTTTAAATAATAAAATATCGACATTGCTAAATGCCTTCGGACCCTTGTGATATGCCTCTCCTTAATTTGCCCATTGTATAAGTTATTTGCTTTACAACTCTGAATACTGCATTTCTTTTGTACTCTAAATCTCACAAATAACTTCTGCTCATTAACGTTTTTCACATTATATAAAATTTCATTTTTTCTTTTCTGTATACATACATATTATAAGCATTTTTTTAATATATATTTAATAGGAAATTCTGGAACAAGTTGTAGTCAAAAATCTAGATACAGGTGAAACCATACCATTATCAAAAGCTGAAGAATCTCTGCCTGAATGTACAAACCCTTTAGCTCTTCACATTTTACGTTTGGCAGAAAATAGGTAAGATGCATGTTGTTTAACACACTTCCATCTGTTTATTATTATTATCACGAATAATATATATATATATATATATATATATATATATATATATATATATATATATATATATATATATATATATATATATATATATATATATATATATATATATATATATATATATATATATATATATATATATATATATATATATATATATATATATATATATATATATATATATATATATATATATATATATATATATATATATATATATATATACTACCGTTCATAATTATTCCAATGACATTAAATTTTTCTTGGTTTGCATGTGTAGTTATTACACATGCAAACCAAGAATGTTTGTTAAACAAAAAATTGGAATTGATTTCTAGGTGCAGGCACAAAAATAAGTTTCTCCTAAAAAACTATAAAAATAAATAATAGTTACACTAAATCCCCCACTTTTAAATTTTTTTTTTTAAAAAAGCATAAGTAATCATTTCTAAAGAATTCTTTTTATAACAGTGTCAGCAAATCCCACAAATGTGTGAAAATTTACAGTAGTTAAAACATTTGCGACTTCCTGTAATTTAATTTTGGTATAAATTGAAGTTTTATTAATTTGATCATTCATTTTTGATAAGTCTTTATTGATGAAAGACTGTAAAATGAAAAAATTTTTGTTAAGTGATTTTCTACTCATTAATAATTGCTCTGTTCTTTTAAGAACATAGAGCACTCTATTTTGTAGAAGGGTCATTCCATGCCAAGTGGTGCAAAGGTCCCTTATGGACCATCTCAGATTTTATTGAAATTTTTTGATTTTGTACATATATATGTGAAAAGCATGTTTTGAAAATTTTAGATCAATATATAATATGGTTCTTGAGAAAACGCTATTTAAGTAGTCGGCTATTATGCATAAAATTTCACTCTACAAGAAAAAAGGTTTTTTTCATCATTTTTAACAGCCAATAACTTTTGAACAAATTAGTTTCATGCTTCAGTTATTTTTAGTTAGCAAGTGTGCTGTGGATACATTAGGAAACAAAAAAAATTTCAGTTCTGGCATCTTAACTTTTTCCATAATGGCGGTCTAAATTTGAGATTTTTGTTTTTAAAATAGTTTTTTTTGTGATTTTAATGATCTTTATCTTGAAAACTAGTTAAAAGATTAATAAAAATCAAATTTCCTGCTAATCTTCATGTGGTGGATAAACATTTTTTAAAAAATCAGTTGATTAAAGAGCTGCATTTTAAAAGTTATAGGTCTCCAAAATGAGTCAGATCGAGATTTTTGTAAAATTGATCTGTGATGCAAAGCATATGTTACCTAAGATGGCACTTTTTTTTTTTCATAAAATTTTTTATACACATCAATTAAAGACTGTTAATTAATAAAAACCAAAAAAATTAATGGGCGCTTATTTATAACCCCAAAAGGTAGTCTCTAAAAGTCAGGTAAATTTTCCATAAAATTCTGAAATTGACATAATAAATAAATGCATTGAATTATATAATGTTATTTATTATGAAATAGCAATTAAAAAATATCAATGTTTATAGCCTTATAATCCCTTTAGATAAAGAACTTTTAAATCCCAATAGATAAAGTCCCCTCCCCTCTGTCCCCTCCCCTCTACATAATACAATATTTTTTTTAATGAAAAACAAACAAAATGTTTTTAAGAAAATAAACAAAATTAATAAAATTTACAAAAAGTTAAATTTCTCAAATAATAAAATAATCTCATTGATTTCTTTTAAGTCAATACTATAAAATCTTCCACTGTTTGACTGGACTTTAAGAGATTGCACTTTGCATAAAATATGCATCAGAGGTACCCAACAAAGATCATCTCTGCATGGCCACGTGAACTTGTTACATAAAGACTTTTTCATGAATTTCATATTAAGATCTTGATGCTCTTCTGATATACTAAGAATATTTCCTAAATACCATTGAGCATCGTAAACGCAGGCCACATATTCTCCTGGTGAGTAACTTGAAATTTTATTAATAAAAATTCTGCAAGTAGAAAAATCCACATTAGTGCAAATAATATCAAATGAGACTATTTTTATTGAGGTAAGTGACATTGGGATAAAACTGTGGTGGTTTCGTGTCCCAGGTATTGTAGAACAAGAACGATATCTCTCTTCCAAATTAAAGTTTGTAGTATGTGTTTCTATTGAAACTTTGTCAACAAAAAAAAAAGATATTCCTTTGACATGTTGAACACACCAGCTGTACATTTTGCTTGGTGTGTCAATAGGATCGTTTAGTGATTGTAAACTGGCTCGTGCAACAAGACGTTTCACTGTTCCACCAACACCATCACAAGGGCTTTTACCATGCAATGTTGCAAAAAAGTGCCACTCTGCAGTCATGTCAAAATCGTTTTTATGGTAGCATAAGTTGATAAGATTTTTGTAATTTTTATATTGTGATGCAGCTCCATCACTAAAATAGATAATGTGTTCAAATGTTTGTAATTGTTTAAGTTTATCAATAACATTACCGATAAAGCAATGAACAGCATCTGTTCCATGTTTCAGATGATCTGATATAACACAATAACTTTGACTATCAAGTTTTCCATCTTTTTTAAAATACGCAACAAAGGGGTGCACAGTTGCTTGGCTGTTATTCCAGTGAAAACCTTGCACTGCATCCTGTATTAGAAAACTATAGTTTTCCGCAAAGTCAAGAAGAACTAAAGCTTGATTTTCTTTTAAATTAGTTTTCAAATGTTGGTAGTAGGTGGCTTGACTTTTGGATATAAAATGATGCTCTCGTAAACTATCTAATTGTTCATAAACCATTTCAATAAATTCATCTAAAGGTAGAGTTGCTGGTACTAAAGTACATTGGTAATTTGATTTTTGCCATTGATAAAAGTTAACTTCACTAATTTCATTTTCTGTAAACAAGGTGTCAATGTAGTCTAACAAAACCTTTTTAGCAGGACATTTATTGCAGCTATGCAGCATACAATCTCTATTTTCAATGCTACAAACCATTAATTTCAATAAGATTTTGTAATCAGCAATTCCAGGAATTTTCTGTACAAGGAGCTTTACATTTTGATGGTACTGGCAAACACAAACTGCATGCAGACCAGAAGCACCACCCACAGGAATGCACCACTTGGGCCTTAGCTCACAAAATTTTGAAAATCCAACTTTAAGATAATTATATTTCTTTTTAAACTCAATATGTAGCTCTTTCATATTGACTAGTAGAAGTCGCTTTTGGATATGTTGCTTTATACTATCTACTTTAACTGAAACAAACTCTTTTTTTCCTGGACAAACCCTTGAATATTCATCGCATTCATAGAAATGAACAACCTCTGTAATTACATCTTCGCTAAGTTTTCTACCCAATTTTGGAGAAGGTTTTGATAGTATTCCACTTTTTTTCCTTAATTTTCTGGCTTGTACTACAGATCTTTTTGAAGTCAAAAAAAACTTCTGAGTTTTCTCTATTGACCAACTGTCTGGAGTGAGTGTAAGAAGTGTGATTTTTTCAGAATTTGACAATGTTTTTTCAAATTTTGACTTAATTTGAGTCATAATATTGTCTAAATCTGTGTTTGTTTTTTTCAAACATTTTTTTGAGGGTGATTCAATTCCACCAAGTGCAGCTATTTCTAAACCTAGCACATTGGCAACAGCCTTTTGTGTATGAGCTCTTACGCTATCAATTTTACGCTTTCCATATGCAACTCTATCTTTTTTTGAAACAAGTTTGAGAGGTGAGCATCCAAAACTTGCAATACTTGAATTAAGATCTTCTTTTAATGTATGGTTGTCAACATAAATTTCTTTTTCTTGGACTTCAGTTTCTTTTGTATAATGTTTGCAATTCAGAACTTTTCTGCAACTAGTGCAAATTTTTTGACCAGGTATTAAACCGAAATCTTTGGCATATGAAAGACTGATAACTCTAAGAGAATCTAAAAAATAACGGAAATAATTATTAAATATTGTTTTTTTTATTTATTTAGGTATTTATTTAGGTATTTATTAGGTAGGTTATTAAGGTATTTTTATTAAATTAAGATATTAAATATTGAAACTTACTTTTCACTTTTTTTGCGTGCTTGTTCAGCGGATTACAACAATACCTGCGATGTTCATTCTCATACCTCGACAAGTAAACTTTCTCGTGATAGCTACAAATAAAATCTATGGGATTTATTTTGCTTCTCAAAGAAATAAGCTCTTGGTTTAGTGTAGACAGTTCTTGGTAGCGTTTACTTTTTTTAGATAGATAGCACTGTTCATTTAATGCTTTACCAATACAGCAAGTAGAAAGCTCAGGCATATTACTTATTATTAATTAGTTCTAAAATACAACAATTTATTTGGTTTTATTAGTACTTTTTATATTGACATACTAGTAATATAGAATTAAATGAAACAATAACTTAACTTTTAAAAAGTAATAATTTTTTATGGAAAATTTACCTGACTTTTAGAGACTACCTTTTGGGGGTTATAAATAAGCGCCCATTAATTTTTTTGGTTTTTATAAATTAACACTCTTTAATTGATGCGTATAAAAAATTTTATGAAAAAAAAAAAGTGCCATCTTAGGTAACAGATGCTTTGCATCACAGATCAATTTTACAAAAATCTTGATCCGACTCATTTTGGAGACCTATAACTTTTAAATGCAGCTCTTTAATCAACTGATTTTTTTAAAAATGTTTATCCACCACATGTAGATCAGCAGGCAATTTGATTTTTATTAATCTTTTAATTAGTTTTTAAGATTAAGATCATTAAAATCACAAAAAAAACTATTTTAAAAACAAAAATCTCAACTTTAGCCCGCCATTATGGAAAAAGTTAAGATGCCAGAATTGAAATTTTTTTCTTTTTCCAAAGTATTTACAGCACACTTGCTATCTTATAATAACTGAAGTAAAAAACTCAATTGTTCAAAAGTTATTGGCTGTTAAAAATGATGAAAAAAACCTTTTTTCTTGTAGAGTGAAATTTTATGCAAAATAGCCCACTACTTAAATAGCGTTTTCTCAAGAACCATATTAGATATTGATCTAAAATTTTCAAAACATGCTTTTAACATATATATGTACAAAATCAAAAAATTTCAATAAAATTTGAGATGGTCCATGAGAGACCTCGTTAAAATTTGCACCACTTGGCACGGAATGACCCAGAATACATTTTTAAAATTGTTTAAACATATATATATATATATATATATATATATATATATATATATATATATATATATATATATATATATATATATATATATACACAGGCTTGGACAGGAATGGCGTGTGATCGAGCGCTATTGCTGACCATGCAAATGATTTTATTTTTTGACAACTTGACCATGATTGTTTATATGTTTTGATGATTTAAAAATTTCAGAAACGCTAAGCTAAACTTAAACTAGGAAAAAAATTAAAAAAAAAACTAACAAAAAAAAAATTTGTAACGAAATAAGAAATAAAAAACAAATTCATAACAAAAAAGAAATTATATAAGCACTAAAATGAAAATAAAAACTTAAACTTGAAGCGAAACTTTTTGTTACGTTTTTAATTACGTATGAAATAAACGTTATCTTTTTAAACGGTATTAAAGTTACGCAAAACGTTTTTAAATTAAGTAATAAATTACTACTAATGATTGGTTTAATAAATGAACAAATTTTAATAAATTAATTAAAAAGTGTTGTATATAATTTTTTTAAATTGTATGAACATTTAATTTTACAAAAAAGTTGCAAAAAAAAAATTGTTTCAAAATATAACGTAGTCTTTTACTAAATTCATGCTCTAATTAGTAAGTCTAATTAAAAAAAAGGATTTAAACTTTTTTATTCGTTAAAATAGAAAAATAAATAAAATGCGCTTGCAATTTAAATAAAATAAACTGCCAACAAGCATTTTAATTTAATTTTAATTTGAGCTTAACGACTTTATTAATAAGCGCTTCCGCAACGAATTTAAAAATTGTTATAAATGATTTAAACTCCATTCATTCCTAACAAAATTGAAACAAACAAAAAAAAAATATTTACAAAAAATAAAATGTTTATTTAAAACATTTTAAAAAATTGTATATTTAATCAAATTAATGGTAAGTTTAAAAAAATTAGTCATATGAACATTACAAAATGCTTTAAATCTTTTTCATTAATCAACAAAATACATGCTTATAATAAATTAAGTTATTTTATATTCTTGAGTAATTTGCATAAAATGTGTAAAAGCTAGTAGTCACAAAAGCTTTTGAACTTATTCACAAATTAAAGTAATTTTAAAAAATTCTTTCTAAAAATAATGGTTTAAAAGTCTTTTAGGAAGACATGAAAAAATAGTTTCAAACGTTTAAATTTATCATAAAAAATACATGCCTACATAAAAAAAACTTATATGTAATGTTTTTTATTAATTTACACAAGAGTTTTTGTAAACAATAACTATAATTAATTTTATGGTTTTATTTGAAGCCTTTTCGTAAAATAAAAAACTTTAGAAAAGATCAACGATTAAAAGATATTTATAACATAACACTTTTTTTATTGCATTCAAATTGTTAAAACATCAAAATAGCCGTGGTCAAGTTGTAAAGAAATATATATATATATTAGCATGGTCAGTTACAGAGTATATATATATATATATATATATATATATATATATATATATATATATATATATATATATATATATATATATATATATATATATATATATATATATATATATATATACTACAGCTTTAAATATGCACAGTCTTTATACATTTTTGTGTGGTTTAATTTTAAAAATCAACCTGTCATTTTTTTTCGTAAAATAAAGAAAAGTATTATATACATAAGATTATGATGCAGCAAGATTTCTTTTGAAAATGCAAATGCATCCTTAGTAAGCTACTCTTTGACACTACGATTTTACACTAAAAATTTCAGGTAATTGCAAGTTATTAACCAATGTACAAGCAATTTTGTTTAGCATTAGCATTCTCACTACTTATTAAGAGCAACATCAAGTAAATTAGTGTCAATGTCAGTCATTTTTAAAAAAATTGTAAGAAATTTACAGTTCTCTAAAGGTCAGCAGTACTGATTTAAGCAGGTGTGATCCTCCATCAACTTTGATATGTTGATACAAGATGTTTTCTCTTTCAGGACATTTTTACAGGTGTGATCCTCCATCAACTTTGATCCTCCATCAACTTTGATATGTTGATACAAGATGTTTTCTCTTTCAGGACATTTTTACAAGAATTGCATGTTCTTTACTCAAGTCTTAAGAGTGTCTATTATATATTATTTTCTTCAGGCCTTAGGTTTTATAGTTGTTAAATGTCTGATTCAGCTGAATGTCATTGAATGCTGCATATGCAGTCTTTTGATACAAAAACTAAGGCTTCAAATAGACATTAACAATGAATCTATTGAATTAATTTTTTCCTTTTAGTTCACATGCTGACAACTTTATAAAAGGTTTGTTGTAATGGAAGAAAATTTCAATTATCATTATGTAGATGATTAAGCCATCTATCAAGCAAAGTCTAAAGCAAAAATTTCCTTTTTTCTCTAAATTGATTAAAAAACAAGATTTTGAAATTACTGAAAGGAAAAAAAGTTAAACACTTATCAAAAAATATCAAGCAGAATTATTTCAAACATGTGATGATGGCAGTCTAATATCCCATATCAAGTATCTAAAGTAGTAAACCTAATAAAATCTTTATTGTGGAAGCAATTGTGTCATAACGCATGCCAATGCGTTATGACACAATTGTAATGAATCACAATTCCAAGATTTCAGTTGTGTTAAAACTGCATCAGTTCCCATTTTTTCTGCTCCTGATGTCTGCATTTACCTCCTTAGCTGTTTAATGTCTTCATTTGACCAAGATACCATAATAGATTATCAGTTTACTACTTTAGTGTTAGTCATGTCTGGTTTTGATAGTGATACAAATTTGTATCACTATCAAAATGTGATACAAATTTGTTTGCATGAATTTTGATTTGTTGTTGTTGTTGTTGTTGTTGTTGATAAACTGTGTTTTTTAAAAAACTGTGGAAAATGATAACCACTGACTTATTTAAAGATCATGGTTATAGTTGATGGGTGTTTCTCCTATCTAATACTGCAGCTATTTTCTAATGACATCTATTGACAGTGATAGATGTCACTTTAGATACTTTACTGGGTATCTGAAGTGCACCTTTGAAGTCATTGTTGTTCAATTGCTTACTTATGGAAGAACTACTAGGCGGCGATGAATCATTGTTTGGCATTTCACTTTCAGGCTATTCCTCAGACAATTTTGCTTACTCCAACACTCTTTATGCCAAAGCTGATTTTTTTTTGAAAAAAATCAGCTTTGGCATAGAATAAAGAAAAAAGGCAAAAGACTTTTAAAAAAGAATAATGAAAAAAGGCAAAAGACTTTTGTGCTAACAAATATCCTTTGTAAGTAGGCTGCGACTATCCAAACACAAACAGTGGATTTATGTACTGAAGATCCTGCAGATGGATATTTCAATATTGCAGTGTGCACATATAAAAAGGCATTGATTTTTGTATGTGTATATACATGTATGTGTGTATGTATGTATGTATGTATGTATGTATGTATGTATGTATGTATGTATGTATGTATGTATGTATGTATGTATGTATGTTTATTTAAATGATTAAAATAATAAAAAAATTATACTTTTTTATAAATAAATAAAAGTTAAAATATGGAAGAGTTCAGATATTGAAGATTTTAAAAAAAATTGTTATAACATTTCTTGCTTTCTTTTTTTTTCTTTCATGTTTTTAATAATACATAATTTACATATTTTAAAGCCATAATACATAGTTTCATGTTTTTAAAGGCATGATTGTTTAAATATTATATTTTTAACATGTATTTTTTTATTACTTCATGCAGTGATTTTGTTGACCTCACAGAAGAAGATGGTAGGTTATCTGACACATCAACAACTTCTAGTATTAAAGTTCAAGGTAAAAGGTATGTATATATTTTTTTATATTATGATATTACATCCATTTTTTTTTAATCAAATTAAACTTTCTAAAGTTAAATTTATAAATATACACACACATACACATACACATGCATACAGTAGGGTCTTAATAGCTCGAACCTGGAGTAGTTAGACTTTTACCAAGTCAATTGGATGTGCATTCCTCTTGCATTTTCTCCATCAACTTTGTATAAAATTTTCTGCTTGAAAATTTGTACCCTGGTTAAGTCTATATCTAAAAAATTACGAAATTGTTTGGTTGCTGATGTTCAAGTATTGCACTTATTTATTTAACAAAATCATTTATTTTTATGTCAGAATAAATCATGATTAACATGTAATCTAATACAACCTGCCTCATTTCCTACTATCTGTTAGAATTTGGTTTTCTAAGTGAAGACTATAAGAGGTTAACTCTAACTTGAGTTATCCCATTCTTTTAGACTCTTGGTTAAGTAATGGCTAGAAGTGATGTCTTAATATAATTACTCATCTTAGGCAGATGTTAACTGCATTCAGCTAATTTTTTAAAAGACTTTAGAAGTAAGCAGAAACTTTCTGTTGATTAGCTTTGAACATCTTCATTAAACAGGCTGGCATAGATTTAAACCTGTGTTACATAGTTTTAAACCTGTGTTACATAGTTTTAAACCTGTGTTACATAGTTTTAAATCTGTGTTACATAGTTTTAAACCTGTGTTACATAGTTTTAAACCTGTGTTACATAGATTTAAACCTGTGTTACATAGTTTTAAACCTGTGTTACATAGATTTAAACCTGTGTTACATAGTTTTAAACCTGGGTTACATAGTTTTAAACCTGCGTTACATAGTTTTAAACCTGTGATTTTAAACATAGATTTTTTATATTTTACATAGTTTTAAACCTTTGATTTTAAACAGATTTATGCTTAGGATGATGAGTGCTGGATCTTCTTGATTCAACTCATTGGTTGATTTTTGTGTCTACTTGGTTGTGGCTGTATAACCAAGTCTTCTGTCATCTTTGAATGAGGGTACAACTTTAAAATTCTGTTTAATGGTTCTAAGACTGGCTAATAATAAAATTTCTCAAGTTCAGTGTTAGCTCTTAGAGATGCTGATTCCATTAACGGCTGTATCAGAGTGTTGGATGTATTGATGGTGTTCCTGTTATTTCTTTTAGGGTACATTTTCAAGGCCGCATAAAATGCCCTTTGTTATGACTTTAAGTTAATTAGAAGGAAAAAAATAATCACAATTTATAGGTTATGCACTGTGATGAGTCAAGTTCTCTAATAATTGCAAGCACAAATGAAAAATCAATTATAAACCAAAAAAACTATTACCACCAAATTTTTTCAATCTATCCTTTACAAATATTTGTTGTTTTTGAAGTAACTTTTCATTGAATGAATCTTACCTTTCACAAAGTTTACCAGACCTACTTGCTTTTTATAAGACTAATTTAAATTTAACTGTTTCATCTTTGGATTTTAGAAATGGCTATTATCCTTTGATTTGACTGGCAGATGAAAGGATAAAACCTGGGCATAAACTTACTATTTGTGTAAAAAAAAGGTTTGAATCTTGTGTTATTCTTTTATGTGCTGCTCCTCCTTCAATTAACTTTTTATTCTTTATCCTCTTTTTTATCATTATATTTCCTACAAAACTCTCCAGAGAAATAATGTCAGTTTATTCACTCTCCTACAAAACTCTCCAGAGAAATAATGTCAGTTTATTCACTCTCCTACAAAACTCTCCAGAGAAATAATGTCAGTTTATTCACTCTCCTACAAAACTCTCCAGAGAAATAATGTCAGTTTATTCAAGAAATCAAAGCAAAAATCTTGAATCTGATGATGGTGATGAGAATCTGATGACAATTACATGAATCTGATGATGATGACCTAAATCTTATGATGATAAAGGTTATTCGCACTACATCTCATATTTTATCTCAGAAGATCGATTCTAGAGACTTAAGGGAAATCTTTAACATTTCAAATCATATATTTACCATATATTTACCTCTCGCCATATATATAAAAATAAATAAATTATTTACCTCTCAGACATGGGTTTGATTTTATTAACACTTCCAAAGATTATGTTGTACTATTTTCAATGAACTTTTCCTCTAACTTATCTCTTGAATCTAATTGCCACACTGTCATCCAAAAAAACAGGTCACTCCTTTCTTAGACATCCTAAAGAAACAGGTCACTCCTTTCTTAGAAATCTTAATTGCTTCTACTTCTGTTGATATGTTTTTATTTATTATTGTTGTTTATTTTTAATATGATTATGTAATAATCTTTAATTTTTTATGCAAAACTAGCGGTTGCTTAGTTTTAAAGTGTCATATTTTTGTCATGTTTTTTACTAATTGTTAAGTAAGAAAAAATTTATAGTATAAAAAAAATTAGATTAAAGGAACATTTTTTTTTTTAACACAAAGTTATGTATTTATATTAAAAAATAAAATATTGCATCTCCGTCATACTTAAATTATGATTTCAAATTCACAAATTCAGGCTCCTAAAAAAGTGACTTCATTACTGATATTTTGGATGTGTATTCTTTTTTACTGATATTTTGGATGTGTATTCTCACTAGAATTAAAAGTTATTTCATTAATCTTATTGTTAAGTTAGGGTTTCTGAACACTGTTTAACAGTAACAGTAAAACAGCTGTTTTTTTACGAAAAAATAAAAACAGCAAGCAGTTGTTTTTTAAATGACTTTTTTTACTGTTTTTTTAATTGAAATTAAAGCAACAAAAAATAAAAACTGTAACTTTTTTTATGCATTCACATAGCGATTAAATTCTATTTCAATATTGTAATGAGTTTTAACTGCATAAAGTTTCATTCAAATCTGAAAACAAATTTTTTTAATCAAACACTTAAATAAAAGCCTTATTATTTATATTTTAAAAATGAACAATTGCTAAGAGAAAAGTTTCTTTATTAACAATAGTTAGTTAGTTTTCAATAACAATTTAACAAATAGTTTAAAATATAGGATAATAAGTAACTTTAATAAATAACTTTAGTTCAGTAGTTAACATTTTTTATAAAAAAAACTAAGCACACAGGCAAGTATTATGGAGTTTCCTATTTTAATAGTTCTTTTTTACTAATCTAGTACTAAAAGTTTCTTAAAGGTTTCTTAAAAGTTTCTTTAGAGTTAAAAATAGGGCTTCTAGCACCAGTTTCTTATTTTTATTGACTTAAAAATAAATGCAGTTACTGGTTATGAATTAGTTTTTATTTTACGATGGGTAAAATGGCTACTTAATATCCTTACTTTCTATTAATTTTATTAGCAATGTCAGTCTGTATATACGCAACAAAACAAAAAAATCCAATTACAAAAGAGTTGGAAGGACAGTGTCAGCAATGTAACAAAATAATAAAATGCTCAGGAAATTCTACAGCTACCTTAAAAAATCACTTAAAAAGTCACGGACTTTGTTTAGATAAAGCAACAGAATTAATTTTACTAACTGATGAGAGACCAAGCGAGAAAAGACAAAAAACTGTTAGCGACTTCTTTGCGCAAAAGAAGTTTCAAAATATTGTTTCTGATTTGGCTATGGATGGCATTTCAGTTCAAGCTATAAGAAATAAATACATTCGTCAGTCAATAGCTCGAGATGGATTTAAACTCTCTGCTAACAAAATTGATGTAATGAAACTATTGCACAAAAATTTTGATAAAAAACGAAAAAAAATGATCAACACCATAAATTTAAAAGTAGCCAAATAAGTAAAGTTAAGCATGACTGGTTGCATCTACTCAGGATGGAGCATCTGTAAACAAGAAGTATATTCAAAATTTAGATATTATTGGTCAGTTTTGTCTTTGTCATGGTATACATTTTGGAGTACGTGACACACTTTATACGAAAAAATATGATATAAAGATTAAAGCGACCCCTGTGATGACGATAACAATAAAAATGATTCTTTTGATGAAGGCACTAATTTTGAATTTATAAATAATAATTGCGAAGATTATATTGACTACAATATTTTACTAAAGAACTCACGCTAACTGATTAAATACATCAAGTGTTCGAAATCAAGTTTTTCAACCAAAAGTCAAAGCTCTACTTGGAAAAGAAATTGAACTTCAATTACATCAATTTTGTTAGCAGAGAGTTTAAATCCATCTCGAGCTATTGAATGACGAATGTATTTATTTCTTATAGCTTGAACTGAAATGCCATCCATAGCCAAATCAAAAACAATATTTTGAAACTTTTTTTGCGCAAAGAAGTCGCTAACAGTTTTTTGTCTTTTCTCAAAAAATCAAGTTTTTGCATCTTGATGTAAAAACTCATTGGAACACAATACCAATAATGCTTCAGCCATTGATAAAGACAGAGACAGCAGTTTGAGAAACTTTATTAGAATTTAAGACAGATATAAGTTTGAACAATAATGTAGACTTCAATGCCTTTGAAGGTTTACTAGAGGTAATGAAACCCATTAAACTTGCTATAGAGAATCTTAGTAGAGAAGATGCAATTCTGTTGAGCGCTGCATGATTTTAGAATTTATGTTTAAGAAATTTCTTTAGTTAACAGTGAAATTTGAAAAAAATTAATAATTTGAGAACTACAGTTGATGAACCCCTGAATACAGATGTCATGAATATATTACGATGTCTAAAGAACTCTAAATATGATGGCTTTTGCAGGAATGTTGGCATCTCGACTTTTTTGTGTTCATGACGTTAATATTATTGAAACAACTTCCAGTAATCCATCAGATAAAATTTTAACTCTACAAGAGGAACTGATGAAAAATGAATCACCAATAGTGCCTTGTGGACAGGACAATTTCAGGTGGTTAAAAGCTAAATTTACTCTTATTAAGAATACAGGGTGACAACCATAAGGTGAAACACATAAAGTAAGCTATATTTTCAAATTTAAGAGTTATATTTATTCAAAAGTGGTATCAATAGAAAGCTACTAGTGTATTTAACAAGTTTTATTGGTTTAATTCGAACCTGTCGCCCTCTGCTTTTATGCAGGCTCGACATCTCTTGAAAAAGTTTCACACGTGGCACGCACGGTTTCTTGTGGCATTTTGTCCCAAATGTCGATCAAAAGTTCCTTGAATTGGTCCAAAGTTGTTAATTTATGCTTCCCCAGTTCTTGTAGCATGTATCCCCAGACAAAGAAATCAAGGGGATTGAGGTCAGGACTCGAAGCAGGCCATTCTTTGGTATCGATAAAATCTGGGAAATTTTGCTTGCAGTAATCTTGAACCACAATAGCCTTGTGTGCAGGGGCAGAATCTTGCTGGAACACCCATGGATCATCACCATACATTTCTTTAGCCTTAGGTTCAATCAAATCTTTGATCACATTCTGTAAGTAGTATTCTTTGTTGATTTTCACCCCTCTATCGATAAATTTCAGAGGAAATTTCCCCTTTTTCGAGATGGCCCCGAATACCATGACCGCCGAAGCGTTCTGATAACGAGGGACAGTTCTAACCTTTAAAGGAACATCATAGAGCTTTACAGCATAAACTCTGTCATTTTGTCTGTTCAATGGACGCTCCAAAGTAAACATTTTCTCGTCCGAAAAAACAATATCTGCACCACCGTGCCGCTTCAATAGCGATTTGCAACGCTTGACTCTTTCCACCTTGTTTTTGTCAGTGAGGCCGGCAATTTTTTGTTTACGGTAGCACTTAAGTCTTAAATCTTTATAACCTTTTGCATAGAGGTATATGACATGTTCAGCTCTTTAGCTAGCTGCCGACCTGAGCGAGCAGGATTTCTTCGTAAACGTTCTCTTACCACTTTGATGATTGCTGGAGTGCGCTTGACGCGCTTTCTTTTTCTAGTTTTAGCTGGAATTTTTGCCCAGTAGTTTTGTAACAAGAAATTGTTCGACTAATCAATGATTTGCTGACTTTTATATCATTTAGGCGTCTCCAAATATCAGCTTGACTTAAATTTTTTTTGTGTAATGAAATTATCAGCTCCCTGATAGGATTTAGATCTGTATTTTTCATACAATCCCTCATTTTTTCTTCCTCAAATTTTTAAAACTTTTTCTAAACAAATGTCAAAACAAACTGTAAACAAGGGGAAAGTCATATGGTTCGGGGTTAATAAATGATTGGGGTTCGAAAATGTGTTTCACCTTATGGTTGTCACCCTGTACAGACCAGCATAGAGAAAACTAACAAAAGCTTTATGATGCAATATTAACAATCAAGCCCACATCTACAGATGTTGAAAGAGTATTCTCTGTGTGTGCCAACTTTTGTACAAAAATAAGATCACGACTTTCAGATAAGTCATTATCAGCTCTTGTATTTTTGAAATGCTATTATAAAATGTAAAGTTCATGTTAGGATATATATTATTGGAAAAATTTTTACTCTTGCCTGCTTAATACAAGGAGGGTGAGTGGGAGTAATAAAGGGTGGAGGGGGATGCAATTTTCAAAATCAGTAAAACAACTGTTAACAGCTGTTTTTGAAAATTATAAAACAGTAAAACAGCTGTTTTTTAAAGACCACTGTTTTTCAGAAACCCTATTGTTAAGTTAATATTGCTTCTGGAGTTTATATTACTTTTTCATTAATTACCTAAGTCACATTTTATGCAGTTAAGGATTCATTCTTGATTTGTTAAAGTATGTTAAATTTATCTGGATTCACATCATAGATGTCTTTATATTAGAAATGTTTATATTATTGATGATCAGAAATGTTTTTTCTGATTGTTTAAGTACACATGGTTTTTTAGCAATAATTTTTGTAATGATTTTACTTAGTAGCTAAAATATTAGTAATTTATTAATAATAATAAACAGTCACTAAGAAAACTTATATGATTTATATACTAGAAAGAAATTGAGAAAGTTCTTTGGTGAAGCAGTGCAAAAGATTCGTAATGTTGCTGATGAAGTTAAATGTAAGTTACTTACACTAAAAAATGTTGCCAATGAAGATAATTTGTAAAATTGCCAATGAAGTATAAGTTACTAAAAATATATTTTCAAACATTTAAAGTAGTACAACTTCTTTTTAGCAAGGCGGGGTGACGAGTTTTCATCAGAAGAAGAAGATAACCCACATGAAGAAGGTGGCTTTATCAAGGTATTTTTGTTTTATCATTTTTATATAAACTATTTTTGTATCATAATTGCCTATATATCACAATCGAGAGCCACAAGTGCTTTTATTGTGCTAATTTTTTTATATAACTGACACAATTTATAAAAAATACTAATTGTAATAAAATGTTTTTTAATAATAAAAAGTTTTCAGATTTTATTCATTCAATTAAAAATCGGTCAAATTATTTCACATAATAATATCAAATTATTTTAATTAATAACAAAATAATAACAAGTCAAATTATTTCACATAATATTTTAATAAATTTTTTTAGTTCAAAAATCATAGAGCAATTAAAGACAGATTGATGTTTTCTAATATCAAGCTGCTGCAAGATCTTACTGGAGAACATGTTGTAATACATATAATTGTTTATTTTATTTTATTGTTGTTTGAATCAAAATTTTTTGACTAAGGTCTGAATTTATTGACTTTTGATAGTTTTACTATGACATACTACAATGTTTTAAAATATTTTGAGGGGTCCTTAAAGACCCTTAAACATATAACGAATTCCTAACCTTATGCCCACTCCATGAAAAATGCCTTACAAAAAACCTTTTTTATATTTGCAATGTAAAAACTCACCAAGAAAAAGAAGGGTATTACTATGTTAAGCTTACTGAGAAAGCTTTTAAAGACATGGTATAAACATAAAATTCTTTTGTTTATGAAAAGTAAGGCCAACTCCACTGAACTTTTTAAATAAAGCTTTAGAAGCTATTCTAAAATATTCTTGAGCAAGTAAAGCCATTCAAACCTGGTGGTATATATTGCAATTTATGCTTGACAGAAAAATGCCACATTGTTACATGAACATTAAATTTGCTTAATAAACCAACCGAGCTTGCGTCAAAGTGCCGCCATGAAAATAAACTTCTAATAAAGAACTTCTAATAATGTCATCAAAGCGGACACTCCATAGCATTTTTTGTATATAATTTTGTTGTTACTTTTTTGTTGTTGTTACATCTGATGATCGCTATTGCATAAAACTTCTAGTTATGTAATTGAAATATATCTTAATAGTTATATAATTTTCAATATATTATTTGCTCTACTAATTAATTAACACACTGTATTGAGCACTCTTAATGGAAATATTAACACAATTCCTACAATATATATATATATATATATATATATATATATATATATATATATATATATATATATATATTCTAATTTATTTTTTTTAGTTTTAAGATGTTGTTTTTTTGTTGATAAGAAGTAAAAACTAATAAGTTTAAGATGGATGGGAAAAAATTCCAAATTTAATAAACATTCCCTCCCATTTATTAAGCACCTAAAAGTACAAGTAAACAAACGTAGACCTCTAAATAATTATGTAAGGACTACTAGGGGTTTTGTATATAATATAAAATAATGTAATATGTATATATATATATATATATATATATATATATATATATATATATATAGTCTTGCATGTCTCTTGCGTAGCATCAAAAAATATTTCCCATAAACTGTAGTTTTAAAGAGCGCGTTAATAAACCAGACCAGAAAAAGTTTTAAAAATTAAATTTTTTTTTTTAATTGATAGACTGCCTGGCCAAACCAAACCCTCAGTCGATGTAGCAGCACTCTCTTGCGAGTCAGGCTATTTGTCAGTCGTTGTAGCAGCACTCCCTTGCAAGTCAGGCTATTTGTCAGTCGATGTAGCAGCACTCCGTTGCGAGTCAGGCTGTTTGTCAGTCGATGTAGCAGCACTCCGTTGCGAGTCAGGCTATTTGTCAGTCGATGTAGCAGCACTCCGTTGCGAGTCAGGCTATAAGATAGTCGATGTAGCAACATTTACGCATGTTTAAAAAATGTTTTTTATTAAATCAATAACAAAAACACCACTAATTAAAAAAAACTTTCTAGTCGTTATAATTGCGGTTTTTTAAAAATTTTTTAAAAAACAATTAAATTTAATGTACTTCCGCATAAATTAATTGCTTTGACATTTTGATGACAATCAAAAACAGCTTAAGAGACGAGGTAATTAAAATTGTAGTCGTAAGAGACTTTTTTTACATTAAAATGCTCTTAAAGCGACACTATATGAGTATATATATATATATATATATATATATATATATATATATATATATATATATATATATATATATATTAAACTTTGTTAAACAAAAAAAAATTGTAAACTTTGATAAACAGAAAATTGTAATCGTAAACAAAAAAGCAATTCCCCAATGAATATAAAATCTTTATCAAAAAAGTTTTTTATATTTTTGGCAATCTTTCTAAAATCTTCATTACCTGGTTAAGCAATTTTACCTTTTTGTATAACTGCATTGTAATGATTTGACACCCACTGAACACCCACATGGCCTGAAACTTTCAATATCTCAGCCAATACATTAGAAGGACCACCTTGCTTAACTAAGCTTTCTGAAAAGCACCTTCACCTCAGATAATTTTTTCTTATTTAAAATGAATTCTTATTTTAATGATTTTTCAAAATGAGCTCTCCAGTTTGTTTTTACCTCAATTTCATTTGATATATTTTTTTATCTAGCCCATTAATACAGCCTACTCCAACTACATCATTATTTTTCTAACCATTTGCTTTACAACTCTCAATATTTGTTTTTGTTGTCTTTAAGTTTAACATTTTAACCAAATAACTTCTACTCATTTAATTACAATTTGCATAAAACACAGTATGCTTAGCCAAACATAGTAAAACAAGCTATATACAAATACAGGTGTCTGCTTATATTTTCAGACTTCTATGCTTTATAAAATTTTCTATTTTAACAATTTTATCCACTTTTGGTTTCTACCACCATAATTCTTTGTGTCTCTAGAGACTATTCTTCTGCATATTTCATTGGATACTTCTAGAAAGCTTTTCTTTATGCTATATTTACTTTCCACTTTTCGTTTCACATTCTGACTTTTGTTATAAATTCTTTCTTAAAATCATTATCTCTAACTTTTCATTTCACAAATAACAAATTTGTTCTGTTTAAAAATTCAAATTAATGTTACTCACCTAGTTTTTACTCTTATGTTACTCACCTAGTTTGCATCTTGCTTTTTAATTAAGATAAAGTCAACTTGTGTAATATAGCCACCTGACTCATTAGTTACTTTTTTTCTTTCTTTGTAAACCTTTTATTACATACTCAATAATCCCATAGCATCAAAAAATATTAATAGCATTTTTTTTTCAAACCCCTTTCCACCATGTTCTACCTCAAAATCATTTGTATCTGCATCAACATATTCATGTCTCCACAATCATTCAGCCTCTTATTTTCCATATTCTATAAAATTTTACCTAAAAACAACAATATATTACCAAATAAAGATCTTCACCTGCTCAGCAACGTTTTTTTTATCAGTTCAGTATCATAATGAAAGCAAGAATGAACAAATTACCAAATTATTTGTTCAAAGGATACATCATTGAGTCATTGAATATTAAACAAGTTAATATAACCTCAAAAAGCATTATCATCAATCATCAAAAAATATTATCAATACATAAAAGAAACATAACAAAACATAACATAATACAACATATTACATAACAATTTAGAATTTTTTCACATTTTTTTTTGTATTTAAGAGTAATTAAGAAAAAAAATTTTGGTTTAAAGAAAAATATCATCAAATGCAAAAATCAAAATAGTTTAAATTAGTTTTGATAATTTTTTTTTTCTAAAACAGTTTAGTAAGTAATAAATATTAATTAGGTAATAACTGAAATTGTTTTTAAGTTTTTTTTTAACAAAAAGAAATGTGAATCAATTTTAAAATCAAATTGTTCAAAAATATTTAAATCTGCTATCTGTTTCATGTTCTATTAAACCATGTCATTTTTTATGATATTTTATTATACGAGTAACATTAGCTGAAGGTTTGGGTACTATTTACATATGAAGGGCATTTATTACGATCAAATTATTATTATTAGTATTATTTTTTTCATAATTTTTTTTTTTTCTAATTGTCTAAAAAAAATGTCTAAATTAAATTTGACAATTTAAAAATTAAATTGGCAAATATGATTTGTTGACTTTAATTATTAACAGGTGAATGAGTTTATGCAGCAGAGAATGACTACATTTAATTAACTTGAGTTTAAGCAATTTTAATGAGTGAATTAACCGTAATAAATACTAAATTTGCTTTAATATTATTTTAGGGAGCAATATGGACAATGAAATTTTCATTATGTGGAAAATTGATGGTATTTTTCATTTAATTTATTTTAACTTTTTGGTTAATTAAAAAAATTGTCAAGACTTTATGATTGAGTTTCTTATAATTAAAGTATAAATTCTGAGTAGATATTTAAAACATCTACATTTTATTCCAAATTGTTCTTTCCTAATTTGTTCTTTAATATGTGTTTTTTAATTTGTTCTCTAAATTGTGCTTCTGACTTATTAAAGGTTTATGAGGTTTTTAAAAACCTTAAAAAAAATAAAAAATTGTGTGTAAACACACAGCTATTTTTAAATCAATGAGACAAGTGGATAGTAAATCATTTATATATACAAAAACAATGCAAGTCTACAATTTAATATATATATATATATATATATATATATTTTTTTTTTTTTTTTTTTTTTTTTAACATCTTCACTTCCAACAAGGCTGCAAGCAACCACTATAAGAGTTGGAAGTTACTGGAAGAGAAAAGACTAAATCTGTAGAGCAAGATAACGATTGACTGATGACTTAAAAGATTGCAAATTATATGAATCAGGAAAGCAAGATGAAGGAAGCGAATTCCAAAGAACTGATGTTCGAGGAAAAAAACTAGAAGAATAAGAGTTTTTGAAGCACTTAGGAACAGTCACAGAAAAAGGATGAGACTTAATTGAATGGCGAGTAACACGAGAATGAATTTTAGTAGATGGCACAAGAGACGCTAGCTCTTTAGAGCAGTGCCCATTATAGTATTTGTAGAAAAGAGAAAGAGAAGCAACATTACGACGATGTGACAAAGGTTGGAGATTGGCTGCCAGAGCAGGTCCAACTATGTTTACAATTCGTTTTTGCACCTTGTCTAAAAGAGAAAGAGCATCATTAGAAGATCCGCCCCAGATGTGGCAACAGTATTCCATACAGGGACGGATTTGAGATTTATAGAGATAGAGAATAGAATCTGGAGTAAGAAAGTGTCGAGCTCGATAAAGAGATGCAACCTTAGCAGATGCTAATTTTGCAATGGATTTGATATACGGTTTAAAAGAAAGATCAGAAGTAAGAGTTAATCCTAGAAGATGAATGGTAGATGACTCATCTAGTACATTACCATTCATAAATATAGGAAGATCTAAATTATTACGATAACGATTGGTCGAATAAAATTGAGTTTTATCTGAATTAAAGTTCACCAGCCACTGTGAGCCCCATGCTGTAGCAGAAGTGAGATCCTTTTCAAGCTCAGATACCCCCTCCAAGCAATCAGAGAGTGTAGGCTTCTTATCATGACAAGAGTAAATGGTAGTGTCGTCAGCGAATAATGCCACCTTAGATGTGAGAATATCTGGAAGATCGTTAATGTAAATTAAAAAGAGTATAGGGCCAAGGATTGAACCTTGAGGAACCCCTGAAGTAACAGGATGTGAAGAAGAGTGTTGTCCATCGAGGACAACTTTTATACTACGATTGGAAAGAAAGGACTCAATAATCTTAAAGACGTTACCAGCTACACCATAAGAAGAAAGCTTATGGAGAAGACCAGCATGCCAAACTTTATCAAAAGCTTTAGAAATGTCAAGTGCGATAGCCTTAACCTCTCCACCTCTATCTAATGCACGGTAAAACCTATCGGTTATTACTGTTAGCACATCAGCTGTAGAACGAGAAGACCGAAATCCATATTGATGATCAGAAAGTAAGTTATTTGATTCAAGATGAGAGATTAAGTGTTTGTTGATTAAAGATTCAAAAACCTTGCTTATGACAGGAAGAAGACTAATGGGACGGTAGTTAGATGAATCAGATCGCTCCCCGGAATTTTTGAAAATAGGGATAACAGATGCTGCTTTCCAGCATGATGGAAAACAAGACTCTGATAAGCACTTGTTAAATAGTTTAGAAAGTATGGATGAAAGCTCCGGAGAACACCTCTGCAAGACTACAACAGGAATGTTGTCAGGACCACAAGCTGTTGAAGAGTCTAAGCAGGAAATTACTTTAGATACAGAAGCTGAAGTGATGCGAATGTCAAGCAAGGGATCAACCTGTTTGACGGTTATGTCAGGTAAAACGCAACTAGTGGAATCAAGAGATGATATTGATGAAAAGTTCTTAGCAAACAATTCAGCTTTGTCTTTAGGTGAGGTGACAAAGTCTGAACCATACAAGAGAGAAGGAATAACAGATTTGCCCTTATTATTGATACTGTTAAAGATTCTCCAGAAGTCTCGAGAGCCTAATTTTTGTGATGAGATACGAGATTTAATGACCTGGGAATAGCGAGCTTTGGCGTCAGACAAAACCTTTTTACAATGGTTTCTGGCGATAGTGAACAGATGTCTGTTTTCTGGAGAATTGTTTTGCTGATAGATATGGAAGTAACGGTTTCTATTAGAAATTGCTACTGCGCAATGTGAGGAAAACCAAGGAGAAGAGTGAGGCTTGACCTGGAATCGTCGAGAGGGAATAAAAGATTCCATGCCAGCCTGAATCCACGAAGTTATGTAAGAAGCACATTTGTCAGCAGGAAGACGAAAGATTTCTACCCAAGGGCCATCACGAAGAAAATCACGGAAAGAGTCCCAGTCAGCTTTAAGGTAGTTGTATGTGGTACGATGATAGGGGGATTCTGATGAAGTAGAAGAATTTGATAATAGTTTTAGAGAGATCAAACCGTGATCAGAAGTACCTAAGGGTGAATGTGGAGAAATTGAGCACTGACTAGGATCCAAAACAAGACATAAGTCGAGTAGAGAAGGTAAATGATTAGGGTTGTCTGGAAAACGAGTTGGAAAGTTGACTATTTGAGTTAGAGATTGAGAAAGGCAAAAGTTGAGGGCCTTAACGCCAGCAGAGTCACTGACACTAGAGCCAAGCCAATCGGTGTGATGGGCATTAAAGTCACCAACAACGACAATATTGGCCGATGGATAAAGAGAGAGGGCTTGGTCAATTTGATCAGAAATAACATCAAGAATAGTGCAATCTTGGGATGAAGGAGAGCGATATAGAACAAAGAGAAAGGCGATAGAGTGAAGTTGTGCTAAACGAAAGCACATAAATGAATAGTCTGTAGATTCAAACCTAGTTTTACGACAAATGGGTGAGTTCTTACGAATGTAGATGCCCAGGCCAAGCATGTGATTATTGGAGTCTTTACGAATTAAAGGAAGATAACCATCAACACTAAGATCACAAGATGGGACAGCTGAACTCAAATTAGTCTCACAAAGAGCAAGTAGGTCTGGTGAACTTTGCAAGAGATAAGACTCAACAGAAGAAAAGTTACTTCGAAGACCACGAATATTAGTAAATGATAGGTTTAGAGAACTTGGTGATGACAATGGTTTTTTGTGTTTTTTAGTTTTAGGTACTTTAGTCATTTTAAATTTATAAAGAACTTGACTCAAGTATAGATAGTACTCAGTACACTATTTAACAACTAAGCAATAGCCTCATTACTATTAATAAACCCTAAGCCGTAGCAAAGGGCTCCAAATGTGGCCTCTGCAATGCACACCAAAAGTACAAACAGGGACACCATCCATGCGCAACATGGCACTGTTAGTACTCTGATATTTTTCGGCTGTTGATGGAATCAGCCTCTCTGAGAGCTACCACAGAGTTCGGGAAACCTGACTACCAGCCGGCCTCAGAACCATAAAACTGAGTTTTAGAGCTGTACCCTCATTAGGAGATAATAGAATGAGTTGCCCAGTCATAAAAATAGAGACAAAAGCAATACCCACGCATTGAGTCAAGAAGATCCAGCGTTCAACATCCTAAACTGGAAACAATGTATTAAAAATACATCTGCGCCAGCCTAATAGATGAGGAAGGGGTGCGAGGCTGGTCAACAGATAGAATCTGTTTACCCCTTAAGTCTTTGCCTAGGAGGCCTTCTACAAGACAGCAGCTGGATGCATGTAACATCTGCCCAAGATGAGTATTTTTATCGAGACACCATCTCTAGCCTTTACTCAACCAAGAGCCCCAAGGCAGGGGGTGTTTTAAATCGGAGTTAACCTCTCCTAGCCTTTGCCTAAAAAAGCGTATCCTACAAGGCAGCAGGACATGGAGCAGGTTGTACTGGGTTACATGTTACCAGTAGCAGGAAAACCTGACCTGACCTGAATATATATATATATATATATATATATATATATATATATATATATATATATATATATATATATATATATATATATATATATATATATATATATATATATATATGAATATATATATATATATATATATATATATATATATATATATATATATATATATGTTAGTTTTGGCAAAGATATTTGATGAAATATTAAAAACAATATATAGGCATTTTGAATAAGTTTGTTTATTTCATAAAATTTGATATTTGACTATAGTATGATGATCAATATGCTTGTTTGATAAATCTAACTTGATAGACTTTGACATAACAGAAATTTTTTTTTCTATATTTGTGCTAAACAAATTTGAACAGTTTGAAAAGCAAGTAATAAGCTGTTCTAAAAGGTCCATCCAAATTACTAAAACACGTCCATCCAAAATTACTAAAACATGTTTTATAATGTGGCTTTTTTCTTTTATGTTCATGTTTGTTGTTTTTTAAATAAAAACCTTTTCTAGTGATAAATGCATACACTATACAGTACAAAAACAGTTTTTTGGGCATAACTGTATATATACAGTGGGTTGCCAAAATATTAGTTACACTAGTGAAGTTTATCATATCACCCATTATAAGCTATTTTACATGTTCTTATGTTAAAATGTTATTTGTTATAAAATGTTGTATGTTATATTTAGTTGGGCTACTATTTACTTCTTGTAACTTGACATGCCAGATATTATTTAATTCCTCAATGAGACTTTTTTTGTTGATTAAAAAAATGAGTTAAAAGTCCGGAGAATTGTCTGGCCACAGTAAAAGAGTTTTTTGCTTCGTAATATGTTGTCACAGATTTAGTTAGGTATGGTGTAGAATTGTTCATAAAAATGTATTTAGACATAAGATATAGCATAGAAATAAGGAAACAAATCATGTAACTGACATTTTAACTGGGGAATTAATTTTGTAGCTAATAATTTTTATATTTATCCAGGTTTATCATCCATTCGACTATAGAAAGAAGGCCACTGCCTTTATCACTTAACCAACCACACTATCACTGACACCTTTAAAACATTTTTACTGTCTTGATAATAGAGTTAGGCTACATTTTAATTTATATTTCTTTTCTGTATCTAACAAAAGAAATTAATTCTGAATTGTTATATTAATTATTAATATAATAATTGTTATTTATCTCTCGGTTTAGTGCAGGGTTGGAAAAAACCCAGGGTTTTTTAAAAAAACCCAACCCAAATGGGTTTTTTTGGGTTTTATGGGTTTTTTGGGTTTTTTTAAAAATCGATCAAAATACCAAATTTTTACAATTGTATGAGTACAATAATTTTTTTTTTTTAATTTCATAAATTCACCTCCCTATTGTTCCAATGACCATTTCAGTCAAGGGAGCATCTCATTTTTTAAAAATATTTTGTCTCAATCCTTAACATTACCATTTTTACTAACAAACAACATTAACAACTAAAATTTTTAAACAAAGGCGCTGTGTGGAGAAATAGATTGAGACAGTAATTTCAGCTTTTCAGGTAATTGGAATTATAGCCACATAGGGTTATAGCCACAAAATAAGTAGCCTCCTCGTCTGTAGTGGCCTTCTCGGCCTTGAGGAGGTGAAGTAAAATAAAAAAATTAAAAAAAAAAAAAACCCGAACCTTATGGTTGTGAGCCAAATGTTTTACTACTAGTCTACTAGCACATTTTACCTATAGTGCAAAAAGGGACTCCATCAACTATAAATGATGTTAATTAATTGTTAAATTAATGCTCTAAATTAAAAACATGTTCAGAATATTTTTGACTAAAAAAAAAACAGTGTAAAAATTATTATGACAATTGAGTTATTCAAAGTTGGTAAGACAATATAAATGTTGCAAACTAGTTTTTTTTACTAACATGTTCAACATATCATTTCAAAAACTATTTTGCACAAGTTTACAACATGTAATCAACAAGTTTGCAACATGATGTCGCAACCTTATAAGTTATTATCAATCAGGATGACTATGAACACTTTTTAAACATTTTTGTATCATAGAAGAAAACTGCTAGCCTAATCACTACATTTTTTCTTTATCAGAACATTATACTGTCCAGCTTCCTGGAAAAGTTATCGGCCTGATCAACTGGACTGGCAAAAAATGGATTTTTGCCTAAACTTTGTTTCTTAAAATATCTAAAATAAATTTGTTAAGAACCATTACAGTGTCTTCGCCACCAAGTTTTTTTTTTTTCCTTGAAGATGTTTTACTGGAACAGTTTTGCAAACTGAATCAAAGTAACACATTATATAGCTCTATTGTGTGTGTGTTTCTTCACCTTTTAGCAACTTGATACTGATGTTAATTTTCAATCCACTGTTCATAGTCACCCCTGTTGGTGGTACATGTTGTAAACTTGTAGCTGATGCAAAATATTCAAAACTTGTCAAAAGACAGATGAGCACGAGTGTTGTTTTTACCAACAAATCTTGTCCTTGTGAAATGCACACAAGTTTTCAACATGTTCTCTCATTGAATGAGCAAACATGTTGCAAACTTGCTTGCACATAACTTATTTTTTTTAAGTTTTAAAGTTGTATGCACTTAAGGACAAATCTAGTAAACTGTAGCAGTTTTTTTTTGCCTGACAACTTTCCATTTCTAAACTGTAAATAAAGTTTAATAATTTTTATATATAGTATTTTGCTTGTGGCTTTGTATTTTTTTTTTTTTTGCAGTTTACAACATAAGCTTTAAAAAATAAAAGATCAAATACCAATATAAAGGAATATAGACATTCGAGAGGAGAATAAAGATACTAAAAAACTAGTAATATCTTGAAATTTAGTTAATAGAATGATTTTTATTTCCTTTATAAGTATTTAACTAATTTAATGTTTTAATACATATTTCAATAACATTTATAATAACTTGCTAATGTTTTAAAAAAATAATAAATAACCAACTTGCTACAAAAACAGATTGATCGATTTTGAGTATATATAAAGACCATTATGTATATAAATACAGTGTTTACAAGAGCAATTACAGTATAAAGGTTGCACTTGCTGATAATAAAGCATTTATAAGTGTTAAAATCAGAGTTATCAGTTGTAAAATAGGTCATTTTTAAAAAAACCCAAATATATTTTGGGTTTTTTTGGGTTTTATTGGGTTTTTTTAAGGTGGGTTTTTTTGGGTTTTTTTGGGTTGGGTTTTTTTGCCAACCCTGGTTTAGTGATGCATGGTTGTCCTCTAGCATTTTGTGAGGATGTTTTCTTACTAAGTTAAATTTTAGTTATGTTTACTGTATAATTGCAAGTTATGTTGTGTGTTTTGATTCACATCAGTAAACAATGTTACTAAAATAGAAATATGATTAGGTGAGCAAGAGATATTTAGATATTAGAAGCAGTAATTGTGATATTTAAATATCACAATTACTGGTTTTTAAAGCAGTAATTGTGATATTTAATTTATATAAAAAATAAAGAATAGTGATTATCTTTTATGAGGCATGTTTATTGCAGGCCTTACTGTATTAATAATGGACTTATGCAATATATTGCATTAAATAATTACACCTGGATTTAAAGAAAAATAAATATACCACATAGATAAACCAATCTAACACCTGATGGCTAAAAAATGAGACAATTTAAATCAATTTATTGTATGCTATTCATAATCATGCAATTGAAATAAATTAATATATTTATAGGGAATTTAATACTCTATTAAAATTATATTATAGTTTTAAAATATTAATTAAAATGGCTCCGTATAAAACAAGTTTGCAAGAAGACCTAAAAAAACGCATTTGCCAATTTAGAAATTCGCATCTGGAAAAGCCAAAAATGTTCACAGTAAAACACTTTCTAGATGAAGGAGCATTAAAAACAACTATATATCGTGCTCTAAAACGTGTAGACAATAATTTAGGTTATCAATGAAAAAAAAGGAAGCGGTCCAAAGGCGAAAAAAATGGACAAAAAGCACATTGACCAATTGAAAAAGGCATTTGATCATCATCACAGTGTTTTGCAACGTCAAGTAGCTCGAAGATTCAATTGTGACCAATGGTATATATCTAAAATTTTTAAAACAAGACAAATATTAGGTATTACAAGAAGAAAAAAATTCCACATCGAAGTGAAAGCCAACTAGCTCGAATCAAACCTTTGTGTCGGCATATATATCATAATTTTAGGAATTTTGATTTTGTCTTGGATGACGAATTATATTTCACATATGGGAATACAACATTGGCTCGCAATGATGGCTTCTATTCTAGCTATGTGTCATCTACAACTAGCGATGTCAAATTCAAAAGGAAGAAGTACGAGGAACAGGTGCTAGTCTCTTTGATTATATCGCCCAAAGGGACTTCAAAACCAATGTTTTTTAAAAGAGTCTAGGCAATTAACAAACAAGCATACATCAGATATCTCTGCAAGCGGTTAATACCCTTCATTGATGAATATTATAAAAATGAAGAGTACTTGTTCTGGCCAGATTTAGCTAGCTCGCACTATGCAAATGAAGTGGTTTCTTTTCTCAATGCCAATAACATCGAATACCTGCCAGAGGTAAAAAAACCACCCAATGTACCAGAAGCTCGACCAATTGAGGACTTTTAGGGTCAGTTGAAAAGCTTAGTCTACGAGGATAATTAACAGGCAACAAGCCTTCCTCAACTCAAATGGCATATCATAAATTGTTTTAACAAAATGGATTCGGAAGTGGTAAAATGTTATGCCTCAATGACTTCAGTTTGTCTAGGTTGAATTGCTTTTAATGATGTTATTGAAAACCAATTAATATATATTTTTTAAATATCATATAATTGTTTATAAATTTATTTTAAATTAAATTTGATAGCTCTGTAACATGGCTATAATAACAATTTTGAAGTTGTCTCATTTTTTAGTAATCAGTTGTTAGAAACAACTGCAGTGTTTGGTTTGTGTGTTTGTTTATTCCTTTTTGAGTTCAAGTAAATATGTAATGCCAGCATGTAAATATTTTTAAAAGATAATTCATTCATTAAATCCAAGGTTTATTAACTCATTGTTAATAAATAGTTATTTTATTCTAGGCTACTGCTGGACAGGACAATGTAGTGGTAAATTTTTTTGTCTGTATATATATATATATATTTTTTTTGTCAAAGCTGAAAAGTCTAAATTTTGCCAAAATTGCTTTTTGTTTAGAATTAAATTTAATATATGTTTTTATATGTCATATATTATGTTGTTATATGTTATGTATTATAAATGTTTTATGTTTATATAGTTATAAATGAAAGAATTTGATAAATTTTCTAACCAACCTCTTTAATTTTTAGGAGAATAGTAATAAAAAAAAATTTGCCTAATTTTTCAAAAGCATTAACTATACAATAAAACATCAGTGTTATGCTTCAATTATCTTCTCAATGTATCAGTAGATTAAGTCAAAAAAATTATTATTGTTATTAGAATTTTATATAGATATTAATTTTTTTTTTAAATGTCAAACTGTTCTGTTTTCCAAGAAACTAAAAGTTTAGTAGTAGGTGGTATAAATAGTATATTTATAAATAGTTTGGTTTTAAATAGTTTATAAATTTGTTAAAAATCAATTTGTTTATAACAAATTTACGCTTTTTTATTTTATTTGAATGATTTGTGCTTAAAATGTTTCTAGCGCGTTTGGGTGTTAAAAGATGCTTTCTCAAACTTTGAAGAAATGAGACTAAAATATTCACGTCCTGCAGAAAGGTCATCTCCCACTGGCTCAATGGTGTCTAGTTCTTCTGTAGCATCTATTGATGAAGACCCACTTGTTTGCGATTTATTACTAGTAAGTACTGGCATCCTTTAAGAAGTAGCTAATAAAAAATAATCAAACTATCAAAAATATTAAATGTAAAAAAAAAAAAATTGTGCGGTTTTAGGCCACATCTGTTAAACCGCATATTTGAGAAAACATATGAATATGCACTAAATAACTACCAAATAAACAGTTAAGCAATAAATTGTTGATAAAAGATTTTTGGAACTTTCCTATATGGTTAGCTTACATATATGGTTAGCTTACATATATGGTTAGCTTACATATATGGTTAGCTTACATATATGGTTAGCTTACATATATGGTTAGCTTACATATATGGTTAGCTTATATATATATGGTTAGCTTACATTTATGGTTAGCTTACATATATGGTTAGCTTACATATATGGTTAGCTTACATATATGGTTAGCTTACATATATGGTTAGCTTAGGTATATGGTTAGCTTAGATATATGGTTAGCTTACATATATGGTTAGCTTACATATATGGTTAGCTTACATATATGGTTAGCTTACATATATGGTTAGCTTACATATATGGTTAGCTTACATATATGGTTAGCTTACATAAAGCTGTTTTATCTTTTGATTTTTATGTAATCTTTGTTCACTTCATTACTTAATGAAATTTCTTTTTAAATTCTGATTTATTTGTTGTTTTTTTAACCATCAAATCTTTTAAGGCTCAAAATGTAAATGATGAAAGTGAAGGTCCATTTAGAGCAGTGCCATTTGTTTCTTATCATGGACATACAAGTGATGTACTGGATCTTTCCTGGTCAAAGGTTTGTAAAATGATAATTTAGGTTTAAATAATAATTAGTTACTTTAAAATTCTGATTGGTTTTAATTTTTTTGGATTTTGTATGATTAATTAAATTTTTTTTCAGTATTTTGTATGATTGGTTATATTTTTTTCAGTATTGTGTAAAATTGGTTAAAATTTTTTTAGTATTATGTGTGAATGGTTACAGTATTTTAATTAGTTATATTTGAATAGTGTAATTTATTGGATTTTAGAATTTCTTTTTGCTATCTTCTTCTATGGATAAAACTGTTCGGTATGTAACACTATGTTTTTTTTTAATTTATACTTATGTTTAAAAATTTTTGCATTAAAGAGAAAAATGAAAAACTTTTTACTACTTTTTGTTGTTGTTGTTTTCTGAAGTAGCATAAAGTTTGAAATATTTTCTCATGTAAAATTTTGTTATACATTTCAGAGTTTGGTGATTATATTACACTACCCTAGTTATAAAATAAATAGTAACTGCTAAATTTCCATTCTGAGATATTCTTAAAAAAACAAAAAAGGTATTTAGCCAACCAGTAAGCTTAGTACATGTCAGAAACATTTAATATCATCAATTGACTTCAAAAAAGAGCTTTTCTGAGGTTTTAATGATTTTTAAAATTTTTATTTAATTATTATAATTAAGCACACACAGTCTTTTTGCTATGTACTAAAATTAATAATTAATTTGTTAGCATGTTTTAGGTAAGAAAAAAAACAAATACAGTCCTTTTATACATGAGACAATATATGTTAATGAAGTTAATTCTGGTCCTAAGTCATTTTTCTTTTTTTTTTCACCTACTGTCTACTTTGTAAGTAGGGCAGTACATGCCTTATTATTTCCAAATATATTTTTTGAATATATAATTAAAATAATTTAATTTTATGTTTATACTAAATAAGACAAAATGGTTACACATGTTGTGTATTTTATTTTTTCATACATCAAAACTTTATTTTTTACTTTAAAACTTATATTTGTAAATTGCAGTAGTGGTGTAGTGGTAGAGCCCTCATTTCATAAGCAAGTGGTTCCAAGTTTGATCCCCACCACATCCCTGGTAGTACCGCGCTCAACTTGTTTCTCCGAGCAGCGGCCTTGTTCGTCCAGGTTTGTGTCTTGGAGTTATAGAGTTTAGAGAGGGTTATAACCACAATTAAGTAGCCTCCTTGTCTGTAGTAACCTTTTCGGTTTTTGGGAGGTGAACTAACATTAAAAAAAAAACATAAACAAATGATAACTTACTGAGAATTTTGATAGGTAGAAAAAGTTTTATTTTGCTGCAATTTGTCTAGGGCTAGACAAAAATGTAAAATTTTTTACTATTTATTTGATTTGGTAACACATGAAACTCCAAGTAGCTGAGTATTGTAATATAAATATTAGTAGCTTTGCTTATTCTTTTTGCTTATTTTTTTGCTTATTCTTTGATATTAGGAGTAACATAATAAATACAGTCTATAGTTAAACATCTATTGAGGTAAAGAAATGTTATACATAATTATATAAAAGATGATGTCATAATGTCACATAATTTCATTCTAAAATAGGAATCAATTGTTGGTTTCAGTGCATACGTTGACTGAGGGTTGGGCTTTAGGAGTATATTATAATTATGGAGATTACTATTAACATTACTACTGCAGCAAAAAATAACTTTTTATTTTCTTCTGTTTCTCCTTTTTCTGATGAAAGTGAATTTGTCTTATAGAATATAGTGAATGAAAAAAAGTTGTTTTTTTAGTATTCTTTTCAAATTTTATGTGTAAAAGTTTAGGTTTGGACCAAAGTTTAATAAATTACATATATATGTAGAGTAGGGTCGGGTAATATGGATAAAAATTTGCACATTATTATATTGTGCAATAAAATTGCCACACTAAAATTTTTTACTTTAACTTGGTTTAACAATAACAAGGTTTATACAATAACACTGAAGAGATAAAATATATATTTATGATAACCCCTTTTAAAACAACACCTCTTATATCCATATTAAACTACTGGTGGGGTAATATGGATACACATTTCATTTATGGTATATGTATCCTATTTATTTTTTTGAAACTCATCTCAATTATTTATCTTATTTGTAAAATGTCCTAAAGTTTCATATTATGTATTGCTCATATCTAGCAGTTTTTTCTAGCAGACTCTTTTCTTCTCATTTTCTTGTAACCTGGCCACAGCATCATTTTCTGTGAAAATTTCCTCTTTGCCTGGACACGGCAAAAAAAAAGGAAATTTTAACAGCACATGATGTTGTGAGAAAATGAGAAGAAAAGAGTCTTTAAATTTAAAAAAAGAGGAAAAAAAAAGGCCTTGTTTGTCAAAATTCCTTTTTTGTAATTAAAAGGATGAGAGAAAGTTATCAAACAATAAAAAAAAAGAATTAGTAGTAGCCTCCTTGACTGTAGTAGCCCTAATTAAATTAAAAAAAAAATCATTATAGGTATATATGTCTTAAATATCTTGAAAAATATCAGCTAATATCTATTAATGAAGATGTAAACATGTGTTTTTAAAAAATAGACAATCTAACACTTCCAGTTATATGGCATCAAAACAACATTTTTTTAAACTTATTTTTAATTGAAAATTTTAATTGTAGATAAGTTTTACATTTGATTTTGTTTAGATTATGTTTGATAGTTTTATATGTATAAATATATATGTATGTTTAGATTATATATTATTTTTAGATTATAGCATGTCATGTTTATTAGTGTTTTAGTGGCTTATGTCATTTTTAATAGTTTTACATGTATAAATATTATGTATGTTTAGATTATATATGTATGTTTAGGTTATGGCATATATCAAGACAAGAATGCTTATGTTGTTTTCAGCATGTTGATTTTGTTACAGCTATTTGTTTTCATCCGAGGGTTTGTTACTTTTTAAAAGTTTTTTTTTCTACTTTGGTGAAGAATTTAAGTGATAAAATTTCTTTTTTTTTTTTTCTATATTTGATGATATTAACAATATAAAAAATTTTAATAATTTAAATTAATATTTTTATATAAAAAAAATTCAATAATTTATTTATTTGTATATAAAAAAAATAGTAATACAGTAAAAGTTAAATTAATAAATTATTTAACTTTTACTGTATCAGTAACTGATGTTTATGTTTTAGTTTTTATAATTATTTTTATAATTTTTATAAATATAATTTTATTATTTTATTAATTGTAATTTTATAGTTTATATATTTTTTTAAATAATAATGACAGTTTAAATTAACAAATTAATGTAATAACATTGACAGGATGATCGTTACTTTTTGAGTGGTTCATTGGATGGGAAGATTCGACTTTGGAATATTCCTGAGAAAAAAGTTGCTTTATGGAATGAAATTGATGGTTCAGGTTAAAAATTTGTAATTCATTTACAATCTAAAGTAGTTATGTCAAATATTTAATTATTTTGTACATATTTACAAATAATTAAAATTATTTTATACATATTCACATAGGCTTGTGGAGCCGAAGCCGAAGCCAGTGAGCCGCTGTTTGTTAGTGGAGCCGAAGCGGCAAAAATCAGGCGGCTCTCGGCTCTCATGTTTTTTTTGTTTTTTTAAATGAATAAAATGTATGTTGTTTTTTTACTAAAGACAAACTTTGTTCATTTATTGTTTAACTGATTTGTTGAATGAATTATTTATTGAGTTTCTATTTTTTTGAAATACTTTTTCTGACAGTTACGATCTTGAAAAAACGTAATAAAAATGAATATTTTAACAATTTTGTGTTCAACAAAAAACTATCCTTTAATAGTATTTCTTAATATGCTTTATTTAAACAAAAAGTAAATTTTTTATGAAAACATTACAGTATTGCATAAATTGCTTTATATTGTATTTTTATACTGATACTATAATTTTAAATATTTGATGCGCGATTTAATGATCAAAGGTTATTCTTATCTTTTAAATTATACTAAAGCATAAGATCATTAAATTTAGAACAATGAATTTTGTTTTAAAACTTGTCACTAACACATTACTGAATTTCCGAGTAATTACATAAAGTAATTACAGTATCAATTAAAAACATCAACAAACTAGTCAAAATGTTTCTCTTAATTAAAATGTCATTAAAACATTTAGAAAAACATAAAATTCTGCACAACTATCTACAAAATCCTCCTGCATCGTTACTTTCAATCGCTAAAGGATCTGAATCTAGAAAAATTACTGTTTATATGGTCTTAAAACAATACAAGAGCTCTCTATCTATCAAACAAATAAAAGGATATGGAAGAAAAAGTGGCTTTAAGGATAAGAAAGCAGCAATTAGTATTAAATGATCATTCACACAAAATCCCGGCTTATCGAACGGAGAACGACTCAAAAGGTAAAAAGTTTCAGAGTTTTTTAAAGATTAAATTTTGGCAAGCAATATGCAGCTGTGGTTTGAGATCTCGAGCTTTTGTCAAATCATCAAGATTAAACTCAAATATTTACATCAAAGATTACTTGCAAGCTAGACTTTTGCAATTTTATCGAAGTCACGATATCCCCTGTTGATTCTGGCCTAATTTTGCTTCTTGACATTATTCTAAGAAAAGTGGTACATTTCGAGAGACATTAAATTCATACCAAAAAGCTTGATCCAATCTGCACACAGTTCCATCCCATTGAATGATGGAACTGAATGATTGAAATTGGCAAAGGGCATTTGCGTAAGACTGGCAAAAGAATAAATACAGCAAAAGATTTAATTAGGGAGTGGACACAAAAAAAATTGTCAAAGACATTGTACAAATGTTGATGTCGTCGATTAGTGTAAATAATTGCTTATTTATATGAAATAATGAAAAATACTAAAGTAAAAAGCACTTTTATAATCTTCAAGTTCCTTAGATTAAAATAAATATTTTTTTTATAGTTTTTGCATTGGTTGAATTTTTTTTTTGAATTTTTTATTGTTTTGAATTTAACGATCGCATGTTTTACCCAGTGGGCACAGGACATACAAAAGAGGTTGTTTAAACATCTTCGGAGCGTTTTGATTGTCTTTTGAACGTTCAAAATACGTCTTTTTTAGGTCCGATGCCAACTGGATATCCAGTGGGCACGGGACTCAGTGATGTCGTAAGAAAGACATCTTTTGAATATTTTTGAATATTTTTGATAAAGACATCTTTTGAATAGTTTTGATAAAGACATCTTTTGAATAATTTTGATGCCTTTTGAACGTTTTGGACGTCTTTGGGATGTTCAAAAGATGTCTTTTTTAGATACTGTGTCCCTGGGTAGAATACGAAATAAAATTTGAACTAAAAACTTTAGTTTTAGGTAAATAATATATAGAAAAAAGTGTTTATTTACCTAAAATATTTTTCTTTTCAAATAAAATATTCTGTAGTAGATAGTAATACAATAACCTTGTAATCATGCGAAATACAATTACCTTGTAGTCATGAGAGGTAAAAAATTAATTGCTGTAATTGGTATAGTTTTGGGTTAGCAAATGTGATCAAAAAAAATATTCCAAAACTTGCGATTTTTGTTCATAAAGTACGGGAGCAAAGCTGGAGCTTGATATTTCTCAGGAGCCGGCTCCACAAGCCTGTATTCAATAACAATTTTTCTATAAATTTCACACAAATTTCTAAAAGAGTTCAATATAGAAAATGAAAAAATAAAAAAGTGTCAGAAAACACATTACTTTAAGTTTATTTAATTTTTTTTCAAACGAACTATTCATTTTTCTAGGAACCAGTCTAATCACTGCTGCAAACTTTTGTCAAAATGGTAAACTTGCTGTTGTAGGTACATATGACGGAAGATGTATTTTCTATGATACAGAAGTAAGTTACTAAAAATCAAAATAGATTTTAATAACTTTAGTTTAAAATTTAATTGTTATAGTTAAAATATTTAGCGTCTTAAATATCACACACAAGTTACAGTGCGATCTAGTCGTGGTAAAAATGCTAGAGGTCGTAAAATTAGTGGAATTGAACCAATGCCAGGTCAAGACAAGGTAAGACTAGATTCCGCTATATTAAAAATTTTTCTTGTTGTAACCTGTTATATCAAAAATCGAATATCAGTTTAACTTTCTTACAAAAAAAGAAAAACTTAGTTACATTAAATCTATTATAGTAATAGTTATATGTTGGCAATACTTGTATGTAATTTTGCAATTTTTATTTTTTGTGAATTAAATCTGCAAATTTTTGGGAATTTAAAACTTTTATTTCTTGTGCTTACATGTTTTCTTTTTAAATAAGTTATACTTTGGATCAAAAAAAAATTAAAATCATTGAGATTTTTTTAAATTAGTTTATTATAAAGTCTTTATAAAGTTTGTGTAAAAATAAAAAAGAATAAAGAAATGGGCTAAAGCGGTAGTGAGTTTGTGGTATAGTGGTTGCCTCATAAGCGAAAAGTTTCAAAATTGATCCCCACACATCATTACCATGATGGTAATGATGTGTGGGGACTTGTTTACCACACTGTCATTGTGGTAAACCATGCTCACCTTTTTTACCACAATGACAGTGTTTGTCAAGTCTTGTCTTGTATTTTAGAGTTAAAGAGTTGAAAAGTTGTTAACACATATTAAAAAAAAAAAAAAAACATCAACTGTAGTGTTCCTTTCAGCCTTATAAGGTGAATTCATTAAGTAATATTAGTAATAAAAGGAAATGCTACTAATAAAATGGTGTGACTTTTTTAAATAATAAATTAGTACATTTTAATCTCCAACCAATTAAGTTTATACAACTAATTAATTGTTCTGTTGGTTGTTGTTGACCATGACTAATCTTTTGTTGGTCGTCTTAATTATTCTGTTGATTGTTGTTGATCTTAGTTATTCTGTTGATGGTTGTTGGTCTTAGTTATTCTGTTGATCGTTGTTGATCTTAGTTATTCTGTTGATTGTTGTTGATCTTAGTTATTCTGTTGGTTGTTGTTGATCTTAGTTATTCTGTTGATGGTTGTTGATCTTATTTATTCTGTTGATCATTGTTGATCTTAGTTATTCTGTTGATTGTTGTTGATCTTAGTTATTCTGTTGATCGTTGTTGATCTTAGTTATTCTGTTGATGGTTGAATATGACTATTTTAAAAATATTTGAAATTAGGTTTGGCTGGCCATTTTTCTTAGGTCTGACCATATGATACAAAGAACTTAATAATATTGAAAATATTATTAAGCTTGAAAATATTAGTTTTATTATAAATATATCATTTTCCCAGTGTTTTTGTTGGTTTTTATGCTATTATCAAAAAAGTTAATTGGAAAAATGTTATTAGAGTCAGAACTGCCAACTTAAAGAGATGTTTTAAGACATAAGTAAAGCAAATAGTATACTCTCACTACTAAATAATACATTCAAGTACAAGGATAAAGATCTAATAAAAACACTGTATTGTACATATGTTAGACTAAATTTAGAGTTTTCAATTCAAGCATGGAGTCCGTATTATACAAAAGATATTAATGAACTAGAAAAAGTCCAACGAAGAGCTTCCAAAATGATACCGGAGCTAAGACATCTTGAGTACAAAAAAAGATTAGAAATTTTGGGTTTGACTACTTTGGAGACTAGAAGGCTAAGGTGCAATTTAATCCAGCAATTCAAAATATTTAAAGGTATTGAAATCATTGATATTAAACAAAATCAAACAATGAACTCTATTTGCTCATCAGATCCTGCAGCTAACATTAGAGGAGCAAAACATCGAATGAAACCTGAATTGGTCAGAAATTGTTTGAAAAGGCAATATTTTTTCAGCAATAGAGTTGTCGATGGATGGAATAGTCTACCAGCCGAAGTTGTTCAATCTACTACAGTTAAAAGCTTCAAATTAAACTTGCAATCGGTCGACTTAGAAGCAATAACAGACAAGATAAAAACCAAGAAAGCTTATTATTAACGTTTTTTATTATTTAGTGACTGAACTAACTTGTTCATTAATTAATTTATACCAGCTGTCATAGATATTGCCTGGCGCTTTATCTTAACAGCATTAATTAATAATAATAATAATAATAGGATATTTTAAAGTGACATGATTCTTAGTTTTATATTTTTCATACTATTTCTTTGCAAATTTCTTTGTAGGTGAACTGTCCAAGATTGTAAGAGCCTAGCTTTAATTTAAACTAGGTCTCTGCTCTACAGTGTTCCAGTCCTGAAAGGCCTAACAGTTATGACTGATTGTTATACTTTTTAACCTCACAAAGACAATCTGTTTCTTTTGTATCCGTATGATCTTAGGCAATTTTGTCATTAAAATGTATAATTATAGATTTGTTCTTAACATATTATGTAACAATTCTTCATAGTAGTTATGTTAACTCTAAGAACATCTACTATGCTAGCTCTAACAACATCTACCATGTTAGCTCTAAGAACAGAAGCATCTTTTTAAATTTTTAATAAGAAATCCTGTAGACACAAAGTTGTAAAACAATGTTACATTACCAATATTTCATCAGCTTTACAAAGAAAAGAATAATTAAATGTTGTTGCTTGCTTGACAGATATTTTCATCCCAATAACAGTCCTGTTAGTTTTTTAAAAGTCTTTCAGAATATTTAAAAACATTTTTTAACAGTCTGCTATTTTGAAAGATTACCAATAGCAAAATTATCTTTTAAAATGGCATCAGTATAATCCAAGTTTCATCTACTTTCATTTTGCTTTCCTCACCTTTCTGCTATCTTACTGATTTCTTATAAATTTAGTATCTTCAATCTGAATGTTGTCTATAAGTCTTCAAACAACTTTTAGGATGCGCAATGTGTTCTGCGGCTCAAAATAATTTTTTTAAATTAATTTTAATACATTAACAAGAAATAATAAACTATTTACTTTCCACTTAATACTTGATACTTAGTTTCTAGTACTTTTAGTTATTGACTGTAAACTTTTTTTAAATGCTCTGACATCATGTTGAGGATTAGTTTATCTTTTAATCTTTTTTAGGATCATTAAAATTATGTGTTGTATCATTGTTTTTGTTATGAAAAAATTTGAAAACAATCTTGCACTAGTGTAATATGAAATTTTTACTCCCTAATTTTTTTGCTCCCCAGTAAAAGTTAAAGTTTTAAAAAATTAAAGTAAAAAATTAAAAAAATTAAATTATCTATTAAATTTTTACCATAAAGTTATAAAAGCATATGAGATTTTTAGGACCTCAATTTTGTTTTTAATCTTAAGTTATTTAAGAGATGCAAGCTAGATTGCAAATAAGGTTTTAAATAAAGGTGATAAAGTTAATTTCAGAAGACAAACAAAGCCATTTATAATTCATAATAATGAATTATATCATGTAAACAAAACTTTTTTATTTCATTAATGTTTAAACCATTTGTCATTTTTTATCCTGTTACAACAGGATAAACACAAGTTTCTGAATGTTTTAAGTAAATATAAATTATTTTAATCTCTTTATCTGGTTTAACTGTTATTGTTTAACACTTTTTAGCTTTGATTCTCATACTATTTATAGTATGAGAATAAAAGGCTTTTTTTTTTTTTTAAAGAAAATTTATTTAGAGCAGAGATGAACAATAAAGCATAATAAAGTGACAAATGTCACTTTTTAATGCTTTGTTGTTCATTTTAGAAAACTTCATTCAAAATTATTGCTGCAAAATATTATAATCCCAAAAGGTAAAATAAAGCAATCAATCAAAGCTAACAGAAGTTAATGGTTACAAATATAGCTAACAGAAGTTAATGGTTACAAATATCTTGTTATATTAGTAGACTATTTCAGTAAATAGGTTTAAGGCCAAAGCACTTACTGATAAAACTGCTAGTTCAGCGGCCTTGTTTTTGTATAAACAGATATGTCAACATAGTTAATTCGAAATACAAATAAATGAACCAGGTTGTAAATAAAATTTTATAAAGAACTTCACTCAAAAACAGGAATAATTCAAAGAAATACCAGTGCATATCATCCTCAAGCTAGTGGATTAGTTAAGCGACAGAATCAAACAATAAAACATACATTAGTTAAGGTACTAGATGAGTCTGCTCATGAATGGCCATATATTATTGATAGTGTTTTGTTTTTGTTGAGAGTTAGAAGCACAAATAACTGTACCTTAAAAATTCTAAAGGGTCAAATTTTGAAAACAAGGTACAACTAGTCAAAGTCATCTTTGTATAATGAAAAAATAACAAGTGATGAACAAGAAAAAATAACAAGTGATGAACAAGAAAAAATAACAAGTGATGAACAAGAAAAAATAACACGTGATGAACAAGAAAAAATAACAAGTGATGAACAAGAAAAAATAACAAGTGATGAACAAGAAAAAATAACAAGTGATGAACAAGAAAAAATAACAAGTGATGAACAAGAAAAAATAACAAGTGATGAACAAGAAAAAATAACAAGTAATGAACAAGAAAAAATAACAAGTGATGAACAAGAAAAAATAACAAGTGATGAACAAGAAAAAATAACAAGTGATGAACAAGAAAAAGTAAATAGTGATCAACAAGAAAAAATATCAAGTGATCAACAAGAAAAAATAACAAGTGACGAACAAAAAAAAAGTGATATGCGTGGTTATAGAACATGGGCAACTGATGCAGAATTTATTGCATATGCCTAATTCATGGGTATTGATATAAATGTTTATAGTAAATATGAAAAGGAACTAAAATGACTGATTTATCCATGTAGTTTAACACTTACGCAGCTTAGTGAATATGCAATATTTCAACTGGACAATTCAACTGATTTGTCCAGTCGAAATTTTTTTTTCAGAAAAATTTATTTGTTATTTAATTTAGCTTGTCATTATTCATTATCTTCTCATAACTTTTAGAGATTTTGAATTTTAGAATTATATAAAATAGTTGAAAATAAAGTGTTGTTACATTGTCTTCAGATAAAAATTTCTTGCTAAAATGCATTAAAGATTAGTTTTGGAATATTGTAATGTTGTAAAAAAGTTTCTTCTTGATGAGTGCTTATAGAGAGAAACAACTTCATGTACATGATGGTACATAACATGATGTTACCTAACATAATGGTACCTAACATGATGGTACCTAACATGATGGTATCTAACATGATGGCATCTAACATGATGGTGCCTAACATGATGGTACCTAGCATTTAGTTATCATGATGGTAATAAAATGCGTTTTTAAAAACGAAATTGATTATTTTGACCTTAAAAAGTTTCTAATTAACATTTTGATTAAATTTTTTAATCCAAACAAAATAAGTACTACAATTTTTTTATAATTTTATACTTTAAAGGAATTTTTTTTTAAGTTGACACACATTGAGAGAGTTGAACTTCCCTCAATGTTTGTCACGCATTGTTTGCTTTATTTGATCTTTAAAACAGTATTTATTTACATGTCGCCTTACCTACGGCACCCTATTTGCTTATAACAGTATGGCATCTACTTGCGTGTAGTGCTAGATGAAATAATGCTATATATGTAAAAATTTAATGGCGCTTTGATCACATAGAAAGTTTTTTCTTTTTTAAAGCATATATAGTTTTTTTGAAATCAGTTTAAAGTCTAAAGATTGATATTAGTAAAAAATACAATTATAGTTTATTATACAAAACAAGCTTTTTATTTTTTTTATTATTAGGTATTAATTACCTCAAATGATTCTCGCATTCGATTATATGACTTAAAAGATCACTCTCTTTATTGCAAATACAAAGGCTTGCATAACGAGTCTAGTCAAATACGTGCTAGCTTCAGGTACTTCTTGTTTAAACTGTTTTATCACTTTAAAAAATTAGAATTAATTTGTATTATTATTTTATTTATTTTAAGCAATGACGGAAAACTTATATTGTGCGGTTCCGAAGATAAATACGTTCATATATGGAAGACTAATCATGATGTTCCGAATGTAAGAAAAGATAGAAACGAGTATTACGAAAGCTTCTTAGGTATTTTATTTAGGTATTTTCTTAGGTATTTGTAGTTAAAATTGCTGTGTAATTTTTCAATATTTTGAAATTAGTATTTTAAAAATGTATACATTTGTTATTTATTTATTTTTAGCGCATGACGCAGTTGTGACGGCAGCTATATTTGCACCGTATCCAACTGTTATTCTACCTGCAACTCAACTAAAAGGAGCTAACAATGACCTTTCTTCCAAACCTTTTGAAATAATAGTTTCTGCTGATTGGCAAGGTGGAATAAAATTGTACGTTAATAGGTGAATTGTAAAATATTTGTCTATAATGTGTTAGTACGACAGCAATTTCGTTACCAACTCTTGTTAGAATCTCGTAAACTGGAATGTTCATTACAAAATACAAAATGAAAATTTTTGAGCTGGTGATGACATTTTGAATCCGTGTGTTTTATACAAAATTGAAATTAAATTTTTTATTATTTGAATTTCTTTCATGCTTTAAATTTTTTTTTCTTTGTTAATTTAAGTCTTTTTTGATTCTAACGTTTTTATTTCTTATAGTTAAAAATAAATATGAGAATAACTTCTAACAGAGAATAAAAAGCAAAAATAATATTTTTATTAAAACTTATACAAATATATTTCTTTAAAAAATATACTGATAAAATTGTTTCGAATCTGATCTGGGCTGGCCCGGTATATAAATTTCGATAAATATAGTTATTAGTATAATGCAGTAAACCAAGTTGATTATATTATAGATTCTAATATTTTCTTACTTTTTTTACTTTTACTACGATTCGGGCACGTGGTCATTATAGCGCGTTCTGTTAATTTTCTGTTAATTAAAAAGAAAATCTTAAAAAATATACTTTACAAAATAAAAGTTTTTTTAATATTTATTTTGTTTTAATGAATTTTAATAAAAGTTTTGAACATTTTTTTAGTTAAGGATTAATTAATTTTTTGACTAACACTGCGTTACACCTTACGTAGAGCTGTGAGTACGTACATCTTACGTAAATACGGCCTCTGTTAAAACTATGTTGACGCCTCAATAAAAAGTTTTCTAAGATTCTATTTTGACAAACTTTTGCATAAATTTGCAAATTTATGCTTATTAACTTAAATTACGATTGAGTTTGGTAAATCTAAATTGGTCTCTATTTTTTGATTTAGTTATTTAGTGATGGTTGAGTTTTTTAATATATAAAATTGCCAATCAGTTTTATAACTTTTTTTGAAACATGGAATTAAAGTTAGATGAAATTGCATTGTAACTTTTTATTCTATAAATCAAAGAAAACATACTTTAAAACTCTACTTAGGGGCTGTTAATATGGAAAACGAGGTGGTCCGTTTACAGAAATCTTGACGTCGTCTATATTTCAACTTTATATAAATTTGAGCCTGTTGTCGTCGATATTACAAACATAAAGTTGGTCTTGTTGTCGTCGATATTATAAATAAAAAAGGCTAGAAAAAGTTATCAAACAAGAATTAAAATGAATTTAAATAAATTTGAACAAAATCTGACAACGATTTTGTCAAAATTTTATGGGCCACATCATTTATAATATTTTCCCACCATAAATTGAACTGATTTATGGTGGGAAAATGTTATTAAATCCCACATTATGCAGCTATATATATATTTTTCTTTTGATTATTTTATTTAGAAGTGATTGTTATTGTTTACTTTTAAAAATTTTTGTACAAGTTATCAAATTTGGAACGTATATATTAGACTTTTAAGATGTATTATTTGTGTAATAATAGCATTTATGCTTTTTATAATACAGTGCGCTTGTTTTACTTCATAACCTCCACCTTTAAATCTTATTGGTAATAAGACCGACTTGTTTACACAAAAAAACCGGTAGCAAAGGTTGCTATGTTAAGATTAAGATTTTTGTGTATAGGTTTTTAGAAGCAACTTTTAAATTATTTTTTAGGTTAAAACTAAAAAGAAAAAAACGGTGCTAAAATATTTTTACATTTAAGGCCGGGACCCTTGACGTCAAAACTTATTAAAGTCAACAAAAAAAGAAATTGTAAATTTAAAAAATATGTATTTTATGCGAAAGAGCTTGTCAGACGGAACAAAAACTTTGTATAAATTATATGCTGAAAACGTTTACTTCACAAGATATACCACCACCTTTAAGAATGTATAACACACAGACCCAGTATTTAAAGACTCGCATAAAAAGACTGAAAATAGTTCTTTCTTTCCAAGTTTACTATGTATCAATGATGCATTTTGTTGAAAGCGTTGTTATTAATATGAATTTTGTATTAAAAGCAATTATCTGTCATATACAATGTATAAAAGTTGGTTTAACAGGAATTTAAGTTATTTCATTGGCATGTTTTTTCATTACGAATGTTTTACTCAACTTCTTTCAAAAAACAAATGATTTTTTTTGTTTTTTAATGAAAGAAGTTTATTAAACATCATCATCTTGATATTTTGGAATTATGCAAATAATACAAAAGATAAAAAACTGATATGGAATATTTTAAGCCATAAAAATGTCACATAAAAATGGATATTACAATAAAAAGCATCGAAAAAGTCACAAAACAACTCAAGGAACACAAAAAAAGTATACTTAAAGAAACTGAACGACTACTTAAAGAGCAAGAAAAATCATTTACTTTAATAATGAGTGCAAACCTCAAAATTTTAACTGATAGACTAGACACAATAGAGAAAGACAATAACAGCAACAAGTCGAAAATAATGAATATCGAAAAAGACTTGAACGAAATAAAGGACAGTCTCAGTTTTCAAGAGAATAAAACTTTAGAAAACATTTCACACTTAAATATATTATGACAATCAAATAAATACATTATATAAAAAGTCGATAGACTTGGAAAATCGTTCCAGAAGAAATAATCTAAGAATAGATGGACTAAAAGAGTTTCCAGGAGAAAGCTGGGATGATTGTGAAAAAGAGGTTAAAAAGTTCTTTAATAATTAATTGAAAATATCAAATGATGTTGTAATAGAAAGAGCACATCGCATCGGTAAAAAGAAAGATAATAAACCAAATTGTATTGTATGTATGTATTTGTATTTATTAGAACAGATAATATACATGTTCTAAAGGACACGCAGGTCCAATATTGATGGACACTAACAGCGTGCCCACCCAAAAAAAAATAATAATAAATAAATAAATTATGTAACAGCGTACAACATTGAATAAATAATTTATCAACGCCGACAAAACTTATCAAAATTGATTGAGTTAATTTTCCTCTTAAAGATGTTGATATTATCGGCATTAACAACATCGAAAGGCAACTGATTCCAAATGTTGACAAATCGGAAAGAGAAACTAAATTTGCGAATATCTAGTCGACAATGTTGTTTGTGCAATTTATACTTATGTCCCCGAATGTTGTTTTTGTTGTCAAAAAGAAAGAACATAGATTTATTAATTAAGACCAAGTTATGCAGAATTTTGTAGCAAATCGATAAATCATGCTTTAATCGCCTTAACTCAAGCGACTCCAAATCAAGCAACTGAAGTCGGTTATCGTAGGTTAAATTGCCTAAGTGCAGAATTTTTTTTGTGAAACGTTTTTGCATGTTCTCAACAACCTTTATTAGTTCAACATGATATGGTGACCAAACTGGGGAGCAATATTCTAATATAGGCCTAATATATGTGTTGAAGGCTTTTACTAAGATTCTAGAATCGCGAGACTTGAAGCATTTTAAAATAAGATATGCTCTAGTATTAGCTGCATGTACAATGTTTGAGATATGCTTTTTATAGTTTAGTTGAGAGTCCAGAGTTACACCGAGATCTTTCGGAATAGAAGACCAAGCTAAAATATGATCTCCTAACTTATAGTTAAAGTTTAAAAATTTTCTCGATGAAGCAGGTGCAATCCTATGAACAAAACACTTACTGGTAGAAATAGGTTGTTGCCATGTTTCTGACCAAAGTACTACATTATTAAGAGCAATAGCTAAATAATGGCTATGGTCCGTATTGTAAAATGAACTGTATAACTTGATGTCATCGGCATAAAGTTTTAAAGAGCAATCAAGATAGTTGACTATAGCGGTTATATCATTGATATATAGTAAAAATAATGTTGGGCCTAACACGCTGCCCTGAGGAACTTCACTAACAATGCAAGTTGGGTTTGATAATGGAGTTCCAACCTTAAGGTGGTAGGCAGCTAAAAAAATTATTTTTGAAGTAAAAAAGTATTTCAATAAATTTTTTTACTTCAAACATGATAAGTACATTAGAAAATTCATAATTTTTATTTATTTTTTTTTTTTTTTCATATATATTTTGGGCAAAAACAGGTGATTTTAGGGCAAAAACAGGCTAAAATCTTGGCAAAGATATATCAAAAAGTATAATTTATTAAGTTCTAATTTTTTGTATTTTTATTTGTTTTATGTAGATAAATGTCCTGAGATAAAAATTTTTGTTGAAAATTTCTTTATTTTAAAGCATTGTTAGATTTTTCAAAGCGCCCAATTAATAATCGAATTTCTGATATTAAGAACAAAAGTTTGTTGTTTTAAAAGTTTGTATTCTAAATTTTTTTTATTTCAGGACATAAAGCTTATTATAATGAATCTCTGTACAAAATTTTAAGTCAATTGGACAATTACAGCTCCTGCAATTTTTGCCAGAAAATTAGAAGAATAAAACAGAGAAAAAAGCATATAAAATTAAAAATATTGATTATACAAACTTATTAAAACCCCCCTTTTTTATATACTGCTCGTCTTAATTTTTGTATTTTTTATCAAACCCTTTCCTAGTTGCTTTGAGATTTTTTCTTTGTTTTTTAATTTTTTATTTATTACTTACCTTAACTAGCGGTTGCTATGAGCGTTGCTAGGGAAAACAAAATTACCCTACAAATATAAATCACTTTTATTAGTTCTAAATTTTTTTTCTCATACGAAGATCTTTATATTTTTAGACTCTACATCAGTTACTGTTTAAAGCAATGCCACTTTTGAAAAATCACTTTTTTTAAACTTTTTTAGCAGTCTACCACCTTAACCTGTTGACTCCTATTGTTGAGAAATGCAGCAATTCAATTTTTTAAATTACCTCTTATGTTAAATAAAGCTAGTTTGGCTAACAATTTAGGGTGTGATACAGAATCGAATGCCTTTTGAAAGTCGATATATACAACATCTGTTGTTAGATTATTGTCTAGTGCAGTACTCCAATCATTAACAGATTCTAAAAGATTAGTGCATGTAGAGTGTTTCTTGAGGAAACCATGTTGATTATTGGCTATTAAGTTATGGAGAATTAAGTATTTAATAATATCCGAGTTAATAATTCTTTCCATTGCACGACAACAGGTGCATGTGAGTGAAATTGGTCTATAATTATTAGGGTCTGATGTTGCTCCTTTTTTAAAAATTGGAGAAACAAAAGCTTGAAGCCACTGTTGTAGTAGACTATTTGACTTAAAG